ACACTCCTCAGGGGTCGGTGCATTGGTGGTTCTTTGTGTCCGGGGCTGGGCTCTCAGGTATGTACCAGCTCACTCCCGGTGGCTACTTGGCCTGGCGCCTGTTGCTCGGTCAGGCCTCTCCCGGGGCGTGGGGGGCCCTCGGGCCTCCGGCTCGGTTCACTCTGGCACAGCTGGCTGCCGGCAGAGCCGGCGGGCACGCCTGCAGCCCCCTCTAGCTTCTGCTCGGTGGCTACTGGGTGACCCCTCGTCTGGGGATCCTCAGCCCTTCCCATGAGGGTGGCACGGATGCCCCTCCGGTGGTCCTCCTTGGGCTCTCGCACTCTGGGGCCTCTGGATGTCTGGGGCCTGGATCTCCTCCATGCCTGCTTCATGCCCTGGGGGACGCTATGGTCTCTACATCCTTTGCAGACCATTACATGTGGAAACCATTTGAATACAAGCACGCTGATCCACACGGTGTTCACTGTTCGTAGACTTAAATTACACCTTTCTTGGCTGCTACTTCAAAGTACATTGTGCGCTGTCTGTCCTGCGTGCTGCACAACAACATTGAATATTTAGTATTTACTGCTGTTTGCACTTAGCTAGATTAATGCGATGGTGTTGTGTTTAGTATGTTGCTTTGTTTTGTTTTTTTTGCTTGTTTTCTATTCTTTCTCTCTCTCAACAGGTGATCCAGGAGATTTTTTCCCCTTTTTCACTGTCCCTCTCCCCTTCTGTTTTTCTTTTCCTTCCTCTTTCTTTCTCCCTTTCCTATCCCTCACTCATGTCTGTAACAATTGAAAATAAAATAAAATAAAATACATAATAAAAACAAAGGTCGATCAAATGGACCAATACGGCAAGGCCATGATGATCCATTTGGCAAAATAAATCCATTGGGTATCCTTGTTGGTCTTCAGACAACAATTCTGATGGCTAAAGAACCAAATGGGACAGGCAACAAAAAAAAAGAGAACAACGGCATTTATGAATTTCAGTGTAAGCGTGCATGGTGGTGCATCTCACAGTCACACTAAAGGCGTGGATAGTTATGGGTCATGTCTGCAGACCTAATTTTTAGTATCCAGAAACATAAGAACTCTCTGCTTCTGGCATCCAGCTATTGTCTACTCATCGTTCTTGTCTGCTTTGGCTCTGTGTTAGTCCTGTGGACTATTGTGCACCTGTCATATAGCTACATTTGTGGTCAGATTTTTAAATACACTCACCATGAGTGTCATGGCAATGTTGGGCTTCTAATGATTTCTTTGAACTGTTGAGTATACATGCATACAGGCTCAAAGTTATAAATACACCCTTGTAAATATTTGAGTAGTTTAATGTCTCTTTCCCCCCCCCCCCTTTTAGTTTAATGTCTCGTACCGAGTTGCACCTCAACAAGCTTCAGGCATAACTCTGGCTTAATATTTGACCACTCATCTTGACAGAATTGGTGGAGTCCATTAAAATCGATTGGTTTTCTGGTGCGCACCCAGCTTTTAAGCATAGTGAACATATTTTTAATAAGGTTGAGGTTAGGGTTTTAGGAAAACTATTCCAGAATATTAATGTTAGCCTGCTTTATTGATTTCATTTTACTGAAGACCAGTTCTGATGTGTGTTTGGGATCATTATCCTGTTGGAACATCTAACTGTGTCCAACTCATTTTCCACCGCGGGCCACATCATGCCCACTTTGATCTTAAGCAGGTAGCTCATTGCTCAGACTGTCCAGTTTTCTTTTGTGTTTTTTTTTTTTTTTAACTAGTCGTTATAAAAGATTTCTATAGCAATGGTAGATTGGTCCGAAATAAGAAAGCGAATAATGCAGCAAATAGATTTTTTTAAATGGGAAACTACAGGTCTCAAAGTACACAGAGAGAAAGCAGTGCAGGAAGTACGATTTTATCGTGGTGAAAGCAAAAGTAACAGAAAAATCACTATAGTCAGTGGGGTTTTTTTTTTGTTTTGTTTGTTGTTTGTTTTTAAACGTGAAGCATAGTTTCGGTCTTCTTTTGCTGCTAGTTCAGTGAATTTTAGTCAGAGTGGTTTTGTGGGCTTTGAGATCCTGATGTTTCAGTGGATACCACCCATGTCTATATTCAAGTAACAGATCTGGCGGTACATCGAGTTAAACCAGAGTTCTCCCTCTCGCCTCTGGTACCAGGGGCATTGGAGTGGAACAGGTTTATTGTTTAATTACTTTGTGTAGCATTAATGGCCATTAGGGAGGTTTTCATTAGTAGGAAAAGCTGTAAAACTTATGAAAATACAGTTAAAAGACCAAAGTTTATGCTTGTGCTTGTTGTGGTAAGCAGCACATCAAACAAGTTAAGAATTATAAATGGCTTCAAGCGCAAATGCAGATACTGAGCGATGGCCTGCTGGTACAGTTAAGGTGAAGTTCAAACTTTTGTAGTCCTTCATTATTCCATCGACCTTGTGCAATGTACAAGTACCACTGGCAGCAAGACAACCGCAGAACATGATGTTACCACCACCGTGCTTGACAGTTGCTACATTGTTCTTAGGTTTGAAAGCGTCACTTTTACTTCTCCAAACATGCCTCTTGTCGTGGTGATCAAATACTTGAATCTTTGTTTTATCTGACCATAAAACTTTTCTCCAAGCATTTGCCTTGTCGATGTGGGCAGCTGCAAATTTCAGTCAAGCTTGAAGGTGTTGATTTTAGAGTAGGGGCTTCTTTCTTGGTCTGCACCCTCTCCGTCCATTGATGATGTAAAACTCATTTCACTGTGGACAGTGACACTCGGGTTTGAGCAGTTTCCAGTTTGTGACAGGCTGCATCCTTGGTGGTTCCTGAAAACCCTAACCTATTTCCTCTCATCGCAGCAACACTGGTACATTTTCATCCTTGGTGCAGGTGTGAACTCAGTAATCGCACTTCGTTGCGGACCAAAACAACTATATCGAGGGTATGTTATAGTGTATTTATATTTAAGCTGTGTGTATACTTCTAACCTTATGGATAAGAGAAAATTAAAAACAAATGTAAACCAATTTTTTTTTTTTTTTAAGTTGTTACATGTGTGCTGTGCAATCGCTCCATCCTGGAAAAAGAACAGTTGAAAGAAATCACTAAAAGCCCCAAATTATTTTAACAGTCGCACCTGTATGCAAACTTCTGACCACAACTTTAAAATAAGACAGGGGCGTAATTTCCAGGGGGGTTATGACCCCCCTCCCCCCAATAATCAGACCCAACCAATATAACCCCCTCCCAATAAAATTATGAATTATCTTGCAATTATTTTGCTGGTAATAACTGAAATGAGTGAAGAAAATCAACAGACTATTTATGCATGTTTAATCATCTGGGAATTTACCCAGATTTATTTATTTAGACAGAGATCTTGACCCCCCAATGTTCAGCACAAAGTTACGCCGATGAAATAAGATGAGGTTTATGGCAAGGGCTTAGCCTAAAGGTTTCCATTTTCTGGTCCCTTGCTCATATAAGTATTAAGTTAATAATCATGAGGTTATTTGATAAGATAGTTGCAGTCATACTCATCAGAATTCAGAAAAAAATACTTTAGTTTTTAAGCTGTGGTGCTTGTATATCTATATAGGTATCACAACCTACATATATTTGGTTTTTTTAGCCTGTTGAATGGACTAAGATATGATCAGTGACACCTCCCCAGCGAGGTGCTGTTTATGGGAGGAATGCAGTCCCCAGGTTTGCGCCGTTTTCTGGTCTCTCTGTTTTTGCATGCAATGGTGTACACAGATGTTCCCCAAATTCCCACAACTGACACCTGGTGAAGCCAATCCGCGCGCAACCTGGTCACGTGTTCGCGGTTGCCACACAGACCGCAGCTCGTCAGCCAATCAGCGGCCAATCAGACTTTCTTCGCACTGCGTGTGACGATGGGGCAAAACAACAACAACGGCGTTTTCATGAAACCCTGTCAAGCGTTATTAATCACGGCTCACCCTCAATCAAAGCCGTCCGCACCTGTGAGAAACATACGCCAAGCACTTATTAAAGCAGCTGTCAAACAGCGAGAGGCTGTGGTGTGTTTGAGGCTTTCATGCAGCTTTTGTTCCCACTTGTCGACCAAAACGCAGTTGCTGGCCAGCTCTCTGCAGTGCGATTAACCCCACTCTTTAACAGCAACTAGCTAAACCGGTTTGGTAAGGAGAGGATAAAATATCAGACTCGTGTAGCATAACAGAAATATTCTCACAGGAAAAAAAACCGATCATAAAGCAGAGATCTTTCGGAGTATAATTTCGCCCGAGAAAGCTCGCACTTCTGTTAGAAAAGTCACCCCAGGCCCACTCACAGCTTTAGCGTGTGCGCTCCTCAACATAGAAATAAAGCAGAATACGAATTTAGATGTGAAATTATGTGTTCCAGGTAGAACCTGAGTGTTTGAGTTATCATTCAGTGCAACACAACGCTATGCGAGTTGCAGTTAAAGCGGGCTAACGTTAGCTTTTTGTGGGCCTGAGTGCGCCATCACTAAAAACAGACAAAGCAGGTTAGGTAAGCTCGCCTCTTTATCCTGCCGTTACACAGTTAGCAAACACACAGCGCAGCTACTTAACAGTGTCACACCACGAAAAGCTAATACAGCTGCCAACGACAACACAAAGCGTGTAACTCTTACACAAACAGCCGCTGGCTAAATAACGAAATCCAAATAAGAAATACTCACAATGCCGTGTCGCATTTACTCATTCCTTGTAAAGTGCTGTTCAGTGCGACGGTCAGTGACAGCTACTTTCACACACCAGCAGCTTCTTCAATTGGTTAAGTACTAGTTTACTGCGCTAACTAACCAGCTGGTTGGTTGGAGAGATAAAGTAGCAACAGCAAGCAGTTGTGTCGAAGTGGAAGAAGAAAGAAACAGCTGAGAAGAGGATGTAAACACAGGTCACGTGGTTTTAAAACGTCGTTAGAAGGAAGCACTGTTGCTCTCGCTGCTATCTATGCTATCTGTTTATCTTTGCAAAACCAACTGGGATTTTGTTTTATTAGTGTTTGTGTGCGCGTTTAAATTATGTTTGTTTACCTTTATTTCACCAGGACGTTGCGCTTAAACCAAAGTTCTTCTAGAAGAGAGACGTATTCGAGGTATAGTAGCAGCACAAATTTAGTATATTATAAATGCAACAAAATACAACTTAGAATGCAAGATACACAACATCAAATCTCCTAGTGCATCTCACAAATGTAGAATGTCGTGAAAAAAGTTGTTTTGCTTCACATTTTTATTAAAAAAAAGTCTATATTTAATACATATAAAGCAGAGTATTTTAAAGTTTTTGCTGTTTTAATTTTAAATATTATGGCTGGTGAAACTCAGAAATTCAGTATCTCAGATTTTTAGAATATTTCATTATGATTTTGAGCAAAAAGTAGTGTGCAAAGGTTTTGAGTCACTTTTCACCTTTCTTTGTATTTTACTTCCAAAAAGCTGTTTTTAAATAACAGTTCTTTGGGTTTTCTAGAGGTCTTCCAAACTTTAAACAAGCATAATTTTAAGAAGAATATTTTTTGTTTTTTGTTTCTTTGTTGAGTCGCTTGACCCTGACCTATGAACCAAGCATTAAAAAGTACCTTGCCAAAGGGAAGAACCAGTGTTGTTTACACATAACAGATGACTCAGCAAATAAACAATTTTAAATGGCATTTTTAGGCATTTTGTTGCTAGCAGCTTGTCACAAAAATCGTTTGTTCAAATTTCTTTAGTTGAATCTATGGAAAATGCCAGAGATAAACTGTGTCAAATTTTGTTATCACTTTGGGATTCACCAACAAGGTGAATCCCAAAGTGCTATGTGCAGAAAACTTGGCATATCTTAGCATGGTGTGCAATGCCTCCCTAAAATATTGAGGAAACTGGACATGTCGAGAACAAAAGAAGTAACAGGCCTAAAAAATGCATCAGAGTGTCTGAGAGTCGTTTGCTTAAAAAAAAAAAAAACAATTAGCAAAGACACAGCACCTCAGAGATGGTAAATGTCGTCTTCCAGTCAATGATTCTTATACAGCACTTTTCTGCTCTAGCACTTAGTGCTTTACACAACATGCACTCATTGACACATGTGCTTTTTTCCTTAACACTTCTGACTTTCCATCTAACAATTACACACATTGATACTTTTATATAAGTAATATCAGAGAGCAACTTGGGGTTCAGTATCTTCCCCAAGGATACTTGGGCATGCAGACCGGAGCAGCCAAGGACTGGACCACAACCCTTCCAGTTAGTAGGTGTCCTGCTCTACCTCTTGAGCTACAGACACCCCTTCTGGGGTGCAGCTGTTCATTCAGCTGTTCCAGTTCACTGAAGCCCGCTCAGAAATGGTCTCATTTCAAGAATGGCTGTCAAGAAGCCATTCTCAATGAGGGGAAAGGGGAGAAAATGCTGTTATATGCCAGATCACATGAGAACTGATCTGAAAATATGAATCCAAATTTAAATGTTTTGGTTCAAATTGTCATCAATATGTACAAAGGAAGTCAGGTAGAGATACAACAGTATCTACAATCATTTGTAAAACATGATGGAGGCGGGATCATCTTGACAGAGTTTAGGCTGTGTTGAAGAATAAATGTGGTCATACTAATTATTGATGTTCAAGCTCATTAGAATTGTACAACCTCCGTTTTTGTCTTAAATGCTGTATTTCCATGTTTGTTTGTACATGTTTCAATAAATCCCAGCACATATTTCCCATTTTCTTAATATAATATAAAAATATAAAAGATCTTAAATATAAAGAAATGAGAGGTGACACTGGAGTTTTGCTTTGTGTCTTTCAGTTTAGTTTATTAGACACAACCACAATCATAGGGAAGACTGCTGATTGACAGTTGTCAAGATGAAAATCCACAACAACCTCCACAAAGAGGTTAGGCCACAGAAGGTCAGTGCTGAAGAGGCTAGCTGTTTGCAGTGTGATGTATTGAAGCGTAATAATAGAAGGTTGCCTGGAAGGGAAAAGTGTGATAGTAACAGAGATGATCGCAGCCCAGAGAGAATTGTCAGGACAAGTCAACTGAAGAGCTTGGGCTTTACAAGGAGTGGACTGAGGCTGTTGTCAGTGCATCAAGCGCTACCACGCACAGACATCTGCAGGAAAGGATATCCAATGTTGCATTCCTAATATCAGGCCATGCCTGAACCAGTGACATCAGCAGCAGCATCTGACCCTGGTGAGGAGAGAAAGAACTGGACTGCTGCCCAGTGGTCCAAAGGTTTCAGATGAAAGTAAGTTTTAAACACAATTTAGAGTCTGGAGGAAGACTGGGACAGAATCCAAGGTGTTTTAAGTCCAGTGTGACATTTCTGCAATCTGTGATGATTAGGGGTGCCGTGTCACCTGCTGGTGGTGGTGATGGTTGGTCAGCTGTGTTTTATCAAGTCCAAAGTCAACACAGCCCTCTACCAAGAGCTTTCAGACCACTTCTTGCTTCCATCTGCTGACAACATTTATGGAGATGATGATTTCCTTTTCCAACTGGACTTAGCACCTGCCCACAGTGCCAAAACTAGTAATAAATGGTGTGGCATGTCTGATTGGGCAGCCAACTTTTCTGACCTGAATCCCACAGAGAATCTATGATTTCTGTTGAGTACTGTGAGTACCGATGATGAGAATCACCCAGCCCAGAAAAACAGAGGATCTCAAGGCTGCTATCAGACCAACACCTCAGCAGTGCTGGAACCTGATCCCCTCCACGCTACGCCTCATTGATGCAGCACTTCATCAAAGAGGTCATAATCAAGTATTGAGCATATAAAATGAGCATGCTTTCCGGAAGTTCTATTCTAAATCCTTTTTTGATCTATCTTAAGAAATATAGCTAAATATCTTGAGCTACAAACCATAATAATCAAATTAAATTTAAAGCAAAAAAGGTTGAAATATTTACATTTACATGCAATAAATATAAAACATATTAAAGTTTATCTTTTAGAAATAAATTAGGAAAAAAGAACTTATTTAGATTCACTAGTAATGCACAAATACCCCTGACAAAAACAATCACCACACTGATTATGATGCCTTTAAATTCACTAATAGATATAAGCAAAACATATCTAAGGTTAGGTCTATTTGAAATCGTGGCATTATGGTGCAGTGGTTGGCACGGTCACCAAACAGCTAGAGGATTCTTGGCTGAGTCTTTTCTGGGTGGAGGGTTCAGGTTTTACCCGGACCTTGTGTGGATTCTCTCTGGCTACTATACCTTCCTCCCACAATCGAGGTGCATGCATGCTAGTTTAATTGGTAATGCTAAACTGTCTGTCCCTCTGTGTTGGCTCTGTAATAGATTAGCGACCTGTAAATGGTGAACCCTGCCATTCGCCCTTCGACGACAGAGACAGGCTGCAGACCCACCGCCGTGACCCCGAATGGAGAGGCTGTTCAGAAAATGAACGGCTGGATGGATTTATGGTTATGAAAATCAACGGATCTTTCTGGAAAGTATTCCATGTCCAAGTAAGAAAACACTGTTTTCCCCAGATCCGTCATGCTTTATATTAAAATGACTTTTATCCTTTTTACGTGACAAAGAAAACTAATCACCTTCAATGTTTATTTTTTAATTAGTTCTATGTAGCTGCCTATAGTGTTTTCACAAGTGTCTGTGTATGTAGTTTCTGGAGGTGTTTCAGACTCAGGTGTTGTATAATTGGTAGATTATACCAAGGACTTCATAGAAAGAGTCCCAAAGCCTCCAATCATAGCCAGGCTCCAACATTATAGGAAACTGATATATATATATATATAGATATATATGTATATATATATATATTCCTCTCCTCGTGCCCTTATAAAAGGAATCAGATATCAAAGTCGATAGAAAAAAATCTATTATCTAAAAAGTCTGACACACTTCTTTGCCCCAGACAGCAAGAAATCTATCATTTATTACACCTCGCGAAAATGAGCTTTTCCCCTTATCATCACTAATTATCGCCATCACTCATGTTAAATTGGTTATAACTTCTTTTTTCTTTTCAGCTTCAAATTTTCAAAACCAGATAAGATGCTCGTGTAATATATGAGATATACTTTCTATTACATAAGAAACTTACTGTAAGCTACATCCCATAGCCTAACGTGCATTACAGCAATATAATTTCCATCGATGTTTTGATCTTAAAGCATGTAAGTTACACTCATGATACACTGTTCTTGTTCATTACCGTGACTTTAACGGAAGAATCTAAACTTAGAAAGATCCTGGAAAGCTCCACACACCTTCTAACCTCACACAGCTCCCTTAAGAGGAGCTCCCTTAATATGCAGGCCTAAATTTAGCCTGCAGATGGTTTCTGGCCTGTTGGGGAAGTGTGTGGGAGTGGAAGGTCCTCAGGTTTAATAAGGAAGCAGTTGTGGTCAGCAGACACACATGAGTCTAAAGTCTGCTCTCTCTAAACACGCTTTGTATTGCACTAAGGTTTTACTTCCCATAGTAGGAGGCTTGTCTCTTTGTAATGTTTTAGACTGTGGAAAGCATGCAGTCAGATCAACAAAGTTGATGTAAAATTGTTTTTCTTAACAAAGGAAATAATCTGTGATCATCCACTTCAGTTGTCTTCTGTCGTCTTTCAGATCTTTTGGCATTGCTGAGCTGGTCAGTGAATTCATTCTTGTCGAGACTGAACCAGATAGTTGATTTGGCCACTTCTGAAGTTGTTGCTCTCTCTGTGGTAGGTTTATTTTAATTTTTCAACCTAATGATGATCTCCATCACTTATATCACTTTGGGTTTCCTGTTAAGAATTCCAGTGAAGAGCTACAAAACACAAGTTTGACACATTATCTTCAAATATTATTTCTGCTTTAATTTACATAAAATATTGGAAGACCAGCGCTCACCTGACCATGACACCACTGTCCATTTACATTTGAGCCTCTGAACATGGGAACTTAAACAGTTAATACAGTGCATTTCTTAGACCCCTTGACCTAAAAATTGTTGTGTCACTTTTGGGCTTAACTCTATGTTTTTATTGTCTTTGCTCAGGCTGGGATCCACCTGTTTGTTTATTTTTCAATTAACAGTAAGCAAAAAGTGGCAATATCTGCGGCCGCAGGTCGTGTGAGGAAGAGAGAGAACCTAATAGCAGATTACGCAGGACAACAGGAACCAGTAAACAAAAACGAGCCATTTATTAAAGTTGATACAAAACAAGGAAAAACCAAAATGAACTGAGAACCTAAAGTGGGAAATACTAAAAATACGAAACTTGAGAGACACAAGGGCAAACGAGTAGACACTCCGACAAGGGACACGGAGAGACTGAGACAATATATACACAAGCTGGGAAACACAGTGGGAACAAATTAGACATAACAAGTAAGAGAAGGAAACTGATCGTAAAACACAAGAGAAAAGGACTATCAAAATAAAACAGGAAACGCACTGAAATGCAGACTAAGACACACAACTTGATGCAGGGAAAGAGTGAGAGGGCACAAGAGAGGGCGAGAGAGAGATGGACAGAGAGCAAGGGACAGAGAGAGAGAGAGCGACACAGCAAGGTAAATAAACAGAGATGAGACTCTGAGGAAAAGACAGAAAGAGGGGAGCGCTAAAGGAAACCGAATAACCTAAAATAACCCTGAATCAGATAAATAGCATAATGAGAAAACTCATAAGAAAAAACTAAACTAGAAAATGTAACCCACTCTTCACGATCAAAGCAATAATAAATTAATAAGATTCACAAAGTCCAGAATACCAAACACTGGGTCAAAGACCTGGAACCATGAAAATAATAGTAGATTTCCCCTGATTTTACATAAAATAGAAATAAAAAATAACAGAATATATTTAAAGACATGATCTGGTTGGACTCTGCTGAATTTACTTTCTGTTACTGTGGTGCAAGCTCCTTCACTCCTGCAGATACTCGTCTTTTGTGTAGAAATTGTGTACTTTCTCAGTCAGTGATTTAATTATATAGCAGGAGGTATTGATCTCCAATTACATAACCACAAATTATTAAAAGTACAAAATACACGAGGAAGCTGAGTCTCTAATTTGGGTTCATTCGAGGGTCTTTAGTAATTGAATACCTCATACAGGATCATTAGTCATGTCACTCATGGGCCACTAAATAGGCCTGACTAGTAAATCAAACAACGTTTCCATTAAGAGCATGTTTTTAGCATCATGATTTGTGTCTGCAGCTCGCGATTTTAGTGATACTGAGCACAGCAGTGTGATCATCCTAGAAAGTGTTTACTAGCAACAGTGTTCCCACACGTCTTCTCCACATACACACAATCCTTGTAAATTTTATACTCACTTCAAACCGACTGTAGTGTACGTAGCCATCAAGAGGCTTTAGATATCTGCCACTTTCTCGCAGTTTACACACAACATGTCCTTTACAGGAAGACGGCGCCTTGTGTGGTGTGACAGGAAATGTGTTTGCATGCCCTGTGTGTGTGTGTCTGTCTGCATGCCTACCTCAAACTTTGTATGTGGTTTTCTCCCACCACATATTGAACTTTGGTTTTATACTTTAGCTCATATTTCTTTTACTGGTGCAGCATAAGCGTACATATGATGGTTTTTATTTTTAAACAAGGACATTTCAATATGGAAGGCATTTTAGATATAAACTCTGATCCATCTAACTGATAGTAATCACAGTAAACAGTAAATGGACTGGTACTTATTTAGCCCGTTTCTACTATAACTGAGCACCCAGTGTTTTTAACTACAAGGCTCATCCACACTTTCATACAAGGACTTTTTTCTCTACCTAAGCACCTTCTTACCCGCTTACACTGCAATGGATGCATAAGGAGCAGCTTGGGGTTCAGTATCTTGCAGAACAACACTACAGGGACAGAGTAGAGTAGCTGGGAATCGAACCATTGACCTTCTGACGGTAGACAACCCGCTTTGTCTCCTGTGCCTAAATGCTGGAATTAACTTTACTTTAGCAATAGAAAATAAAATAATAATAGTGATGATGATGGTTTGGGTAAAATTTAAATGTAAAGTCCAATAATATTGACACTGAAGTTGAAAAATAGTGACAGTGATTTTGTCATTTGAATATTTTTTTTTTACTTGCCTATTTTACTTTTTACTTACTTATATTTTTATTTTTCTGTTGAATGATTAAAGTTTTTAGGAATGATCAGGTCCTATTTCGGTCTCAAGGCCTTCCTCTTTGTCTTGTTTTTAGTAATCAAAAAAGTGACATTCTTAAATGTACATTATTTCATTAAAGTTGCATTTTGTTTTTGTTTTGTTATCATTATTATTATTATTTTTTAATTGAAGAGTTTTCTGTTTAGGGTGGCACGACGGTGCACTGGTTAGCACTGTCACCTCACTGTAAGAAAATCTTGTGTTCAAAGAAAGCTGATGTTGTCTCTGGGTTTTCCCACAGTCTAAAGACATGCATGTTAGGCTAAACGGGGATACTGTGTGAATGTAAGCATGAAGGGTTGTCTGTCTGTCTATGTTGGACCTGTGACAGACTGGCAACGTGTCCAAGATGTACCCAGCCTCTCACCCTATGATAGCCTTTTAATTACAGCAATCCAGCAGGTATTCTTCCTGAAGTCCACAAAACATTTTACACTGTTTCAGTGGACCATAACAACTTTCATAATGTTGCATTTATGTGACAAAAAGGGGATCCACACAAAAGGTTTACTTGAACAATAGATAATTGTTCAAACATAAGCTAACCAAGACATAAAACATCAAATGGGGTGGATGCCAAGTGCAGTGGAAGAGCGAGATTGACCAGTTTTTCTGATCCAGGTGTTATAACCTGGAAAGCCCAGGCGGGTTGCATTTGCTGAGGTCTCCCCTATGCCAGCCACTCACCATTATAAACAGGCCAGGACTTTCATTGAGACAACAGGAGGGCTGTCACAGCAATGACACAACTCTATTAAAATAATTACATCTCTGTTTAATAAAAGGCTGACTCTTGGTCCAGATGGATAACCTTGATATTTTCCTTTTTTTTGTGTAGCTGGCTATTTCGATAATTGATTGGCCTTTTATGTTGTTTTTAAAGTAAAACTGAATTAATGTAAGTTATGAAGTGTGAAGATGTGTGTTTTTGTGCTTTGGATTGTTGGTCAGACAATAAAAGCAATGGATGATGTCACATTTGGTTAAAGGAAATGCATTTTTCACCTGTTTTTGTTTTTACATTTTATACACTATACTAAACAAATAATTGAATATTGGGGGCGTTTCTTCAATAATGATCACTAGTTGCATCTCTAAGCTGAACATATGGGACATTATTGAGGTCTACAGTGTTTTTCATTGGTAGGATTGGCATGTAGCAAAGATACATATCTGTACTTGAACCTGTGGCAGTCAACAGCTAAAAGCTCTAAAGCCATGATATCCCTTTATTTTCATTTTAGCCCCAAATGGCACAAAAACTGCACACAGAGAACTGCCAGCGTCTGCTGATCCAGTCCCTGTTTTTCACCACTAGGTGATGCTAATGCATCGTGAAAGCTGACGCCTGCTGACTTATTGGGGAGGAAAACGGGTTGCAGTCAATTCACGGTGGACTCAAAACGTTTGAGAAACCACACAACCATTTGAAAAGTTTATTTCTACCATACACAAACTGTACAACACAGCGCATATCTTTATTATGAAATATTAAAAGTAATAGGAAGTTTAAATTTACAAACTACCTTAACTGAAAAAAGCATTACATTTTAATGTAAAAGAAAAGAAAAATACAGTACAATTTCATATCATACTAATATCGTTCCACAAAAAAGCATTTCACATTACAAAACATCAAATACTAACAGGGAAAAAAATAAATATTATTCACAAAACTTCCTGAGCAAACAATGTGTGGTATAGGAATTACATATAAGAAGTTACAAAGAAAAAGATCGTTAGATTTAAAGACTGTGATTCAGTTTTTAAAAGATTAAAATTGTTTAAAATGTGTCGAGTATTTGGATAAAACAGGGTCTTGTTTTTCTGTAATTTGGCTCTTCTGCTGTTACATTTTCATCTTCAAAATGTCCTAGGCTACATGTTGTTGATGTCTTTTTGCAGAAATTAAAAGAAATGTATTGCTGAAATGGATAGCTCTTTTTTTTTTTTATTATCTGGGGATTAACCAGCCGGTCCTTTTCTTTTATCAAAGGTCAGTATGGGCAACTAAAAACACAAAATAACTCATATACAAAAGTGCAATTGATGCAAACAAACAACTGATTAGCCAACAACTATCATTTTTCTATATTTTTTTTATTTTTTTTGCTTGTAATGATTGAAACTAAAATGCAGGTTGCAGTGGTCGTCAGCTCGGTTTTGAAATAGCTACTATTCAAATCTGCCCAAGGATGTTCAAACTGTAAGACTGGCTGAAATGTTAAGGCCTTTAAGCAGATAAGAGATATCCACTCCTTCTTATTTGCCCCCTCTCTGCGCTATCAAAGAAAACAAAACAAAACAAATTAACACCAGACTTTCAATCTCAGTCATGATATTTCAAAACCTGACTCTGAGATTACAGCTACTGAGACAACGGCTTTCAAACAGTCATCAGGAACGTTTCCGCCTATGAAAATAATTGTACTGTATATTAAATCAGACACCATTCACATAATACTGTCCTACCACAAAACATAGTACTTGTATATTTTTATGGATTCATATACATTTAGGCACATACTATATGCACACTAAAAGTGTGCACAGAAGGCAGTTTAATATCTATATTTTTTTGTTTTGTTTTTTAAAAAAAAGAAAGACATCTTGACAAAGTGATCGTTTTGATTTTTGTTGCACTCTTTTTGTGGTCACACTATGCAAAGCAGTATCCGACATTCAGTTCACAGAATGATGTTGCATTTTTGCTCAGTGTCACCTCCTCATTGCATTCAGCTGTTATTGGTTGAGTAGAAAAAGGTACAGTACATTTGCATTGCAATTTCTTTTTTTTCTTTTAAATCTTGGTGTTCACTTTGTCTTACCATACATTCAGTCTCCAATAAGGAAAGAAAGCAATGCTTAAAAACATTGATGCTTAGTAGTTTTGGTAGGTTTTCACTTTGAAGGGAGATTCAACTTATGTTCTAATAATAATAATAATAATGATAATAATAATAATACTAACAATAATATAGGTTTTTCAACACTAGGTGGCGAAAGTATGCCATGAAATTGGAATGTGCTTCTATGTAATTTACAATGTGCAGAAAGTCAAACTGATTTCTCAAATATTACGCATTTACAGTTTTTAGAAATAAATAAAAATCGAGGAAATAAATACACTGATGAACAAATATAGTAATAAATAGCAATAATATAAGAGTGACATGAACACATACAGATTAAAATCAAGCAAACCATACAAAATAATTAAGTGCAAGAGGGGTTAAAAAAAAAACAAATCTCACCAGGATAAACATATCGAGTGAATGCAGAAACAGTAGAAGCATTACAAATCTGGCTGGTAATTTTCTCAGTGCAGTGTATTTACCGGAAAATGCCAAACACATTTCCGAAAGCCTTGTCTTATACATGCAGCCAAGCCAGCACTCTTCAGTAAAATAGAGCTATCTAGTGTCATTATCCCAAGTCAAAGAAACCTCTTGGTAGCTCCACAGCTTAAACATGGATGCCCTTAATAGCCTGTTTGATATTATCCAAGAGGGCCTTGCACTCTGGAGAGTATTCATGCTCCGAGTTGTTGTACATATCAGTTAATGTGTTCACATAGGCTTCAAAATTATGCTCACTGATGGGCCCCTGCAACAAAAACATGTTTGACTATTAGTGAAAACAGCACAGCAGAAATGACAATTTCAGGAAAATGATTATTTATTTTTTTCTGGACAGGTTAAACACTGTGAGCTGGAGTGGATACTGTGGTCAAGGCTTACTGTACCATTTGAGGCAGCTGAATGTCTGTTAGACTGTTAATAAGAGCTTGGCTTAGGTGAGCCAGCTCCTTCAGTAGGCTATCGTTGTGCTGTTCGATCATCTTGTTTTCCTCTTCAATTGTCTTCAGGTTACATTCCATAGAGGAGATCTGCTTTCGGGTACAAAACAACAGGGATCTCATCAAATTGAGCGGGCAAAGATCTCGCGCCTTTATTTTAACCAATGATTTTTGTGAGAGTAAATACTTACCTGGGTTTGGAGCTGCATCATGTCTGCTTCTATTTTCATGTTGGATTCGTTCAGTTCTTTTATTTCATGATCCAGATGTTGAATATCATCTTTGTTTTCAACACCTGGGTTAGAGGAGATAGTCTAATTTATCATGTTCCAGCAGAGATCACAGATTTTTTTATTTTATTCATTCACTGGGTTTTTTTGTACCAGTATATGTGTCACTAATAGAAAAAAACTTGCCATGCCACACAAAATGTCAGAGTAGCTTACCACTGCTGGCTTTAAATTTGATAGTCATCATCTCTTCCTCGGAGTACTTTTTCTTGATATTTTGTGCGTTCAGCGGGCAACCGGACAAACTAGTTCAGCAGGCCATAAATGACAATTTTAGACAGGAGAAAATCACCGAAACTACTAAACTTTAACATCTTCAAGACTGTGGATAGAGTAAGACTGCAACATGTCGACTAGCGGTATTGTTTAGAGATAAAATGGAGGACAGGCGGCCTCACCTTCTGTGAGTGGCAAACACATTATTGGCATGTCCAAGGCCATTGCAGCCAGGCAAGGGACAATGGGGCAGTTCCTGTTTATTGGACTTCCAGGCAAAGGGCATCCCATTGATGGACGACTCCTTCTGTCTTTTGGCAGCGAGTGGACAACTGCCTGCACTGCGGTGGGATGTGTATTTTCCCGATATATGGCCCTGTCCGTCACATCCAATTACCGGACACCTACCGTAGTGACAAACAAAGAGGATGAGGCGCTGAAAACATGCATACACTACGGAAAAATCTAACTAGCTTGCATTTAATAACATTCGTTATTTTTTGTGCTACCCACTGAACAAAATCCATCCAGCTGCGCAAAAACAACAGCAACTGCTTTATTGTCAAACTGCAAAAAAAAAAATAAAAAAAATCTCTGGGACCATTAAAATAAAAAAAAAATCTCTTTCAATAACTAGACCGGAAGATTTGTTAACCATTAAGTTGATTAATCCATCTAAATGCTGATTAAAAAATGAAGTCGCCAAAAACTAGAGATGGACTATGAAAAATCACATTAACTGTAAGTAACTAATCCTCTAAACTTGAGTTTGAATGGGCCCTCTGTTCACTGTATACATTTCCAGGTGGATGGTATTTGTGTTTGAAAACATAAGCACAACTCACATTGAATATCATTAAGAGTTTGTCAGTTGCATTTTCAGGCCTGTTTTCTGCAGGTCAGTAATGGAGTGACATGAATTACAGATAATTGTCATGTATCCCCTCATGCGAAAGAATGTAATTTGGAGGTGGCTAACCCTTTCCCTTATTGATAAAGGTGAAAGGTCACCTGAGATGATACAAATGGCACACATGCTGTGGAGTGCTGCTGCAAAAAGCCTGTTTCAGCATTTTGTTACTCAACAGCAAAGCAGCACTTAGAGGACAAAACAACACCGGTCCCATTACTTACATCTACCACAGGTAGGTAGCTTGATGCAAGGCACCCGGACAATGGAGGCATGCCATATGGCCCACTATTTACAATAATCTAGGGACATTTGCTACCCTCCCCCTTTCTCTTCCTTTCTCTCTTAATGTGTATGAGATCTATTCCAGTTTAATTCCTAAGCTCGTGCCCTTGCATTAGTAATTAAAAAAAAAAAAAAAAAAAAATCAGTGTCCAGATGTATAAGTAAACAAGGGCTCATATATCAGACTTTGGATTTAAGCTGCAAATCAATTCCATTATATTTTTTTTCCAATAACACTTTAACAGACAACAGTGATTAAGCTCCAAATGAGTGCAATGCCATCACAGCCGGCAATTCAACATTTTCTTAATATACTATAATTATAAAGAAAGCACTCTGTGAAGAGTGATAAGCCAGATATCCCATTCAGAAAATAGAAAAAAATTCCAAAACCCTTGTTGAATTCTTGCGGAAAAAAACATGTTACTAATCCTTTGAAAATAATTCACTAATGTTAGGACAAGAGAAGTATTATTTTCTTTGTTTAACTTAATGGCCTCCAGGTACTATACCCCCGGGCACAAAAGCATGACGCATTTTCCCAATGTTTTCTGTTGTTTTATTTTTAAAACAGAAAAAAAAGCAAACAAAAAACAAACAAACATGACAGCATAGGATGAGCAAAAAAGAAAAAAGAAAGAAAGAAAAAAAAATCGTACTTAAGCTCTTGCTCATCTTTGTCATCCTTGTTTGGTGTGAGCTTCAAACCTCCTTTTCTGGCACGTGGACATCCTGACAAGCTGAAAATGGTTGGAGACAGTGAGTTAACTTGAAAGAATCTATTCATGAGGTACAATAAAGGCTGGAATTGTACAGGCAGCCGTGAGGTTTAGGAAGTTGCAATTTTTTCATGTTTTTTTAAAAAAAATAAATGATAAGTTTTACTGCATTAGCACATATGTAGCTGAAATGTGCCTATAGATGGATAGACAGATAAAAAGGCAGTCAAATGAATCGAGAAAAACAAGAAATCAAAAAGTGCAGCGTGTTTTTAAAGTGAGACTTTCACCATCTGTTTGAATGCCATGCATCTGACAAATGTATTTCATGCTCAGTTGTGATGATTTCTCTCAGCTACCTTCTGTGCGAAGCATAGTTCCCAGTCACATGTCCAGATCCATCACAACCAGGTGTTGGGCACCTGCAGGTTGAGAGACACAGAGACCAGGTGCTTTTTACAGCAAAAGACTGGGAGCAGAGCTGGGGATTCATGCTAATATGCAGAAAAGTAGCACAAATAGAAAACAACTTCATGTTGAGTAAATGGAAATCATGCATAATGTGAAGTGAAAAGGGAAAGGAAAAGGAAAGGAAGGAAAACAAGATGACCCAAGCTGAAGCAAAAACAAGCTGCCTAGTTTAATGTGAAAAATCCTTTAGCAACAATAACAGTTTTCAGAACACATACTTTAGTTCCTGAGAGTTGGCTGCCATCAGTGATTTGAGTGTTTTGTCAGCGAGGGGACATCCAGACACACTAGAGAGGATAAAGAGCTAACAGTCATTTTAATTCACTCTTTGATCACGACTGAATTAAATAATCTTAATACAATGCACTGCATATTTATACAAAAGTACTTTAAAAAAACACAATTCTGCTTGTTCGTCACGAGAAAGCTTTTTTGTGTCATCACATTTTTAGCACATGACATATGCTGCAAAAAACCCTACGAGCTACAAGTGACAAGTTTTCACTTGTAATAATCAACATAATTAAACAATAAGCATTGTTTCCCTTGTCTATATATCTGCTAGCTGGTACTAATGAGAGTGTAATTAATTACAGTACCTCCGATGTGATGCATAATTCCCCGTCACATGGCCACTGCCGTCACAGCCTGGGGTCGGACAGCTGCATGAGAACACAAAGCATTTAATACGCAGATTACTCCACTTCCCACAGACTTTCCCAAGCTTGAACTGAATCTTTCTTATACAGGGGGAACCTTTTTATGTTCATTAGAGAGAAAAAAAGAGTTAGTACAGCGGAAAGTTTAGTAGAAATTTTTCATTACATTGCTCAACATTCAGTTTAATAATGTCTCTGAATGTCACAGGGGAGGGGATCTGGTGGGGGGGTGCTGTGCTGCGGAAACTAGAGGATCCTACGTTTCTCGTGAGGAGACCCAGCAGAGCATGCACTCTAACTACAAAGAGTCAAGAGTTGTGTTAAGCTTAGGTCGGACATACGGGGAGAAAACTCACTTTTTAAATAGATACATTTCGTCTCCACATGAACCTGCAGACATACCAGTTACAATCATATGTAACACAGTGAGTTTCATTCCAGTGTTTTGACCCACTATTGGAACAAATGTATGGTTTGGAGTGACACTTTTTCTTATTAATACTGACCATCTGCCAGCTAAAAGGAATGATCACATCACACGTGTCTGGCTCGATAAAGCTGCTGCGAGATGTTTCGCTGTTTAATCCCACATACCTCAGAAGCTCTTTCTTCGAATCCCGTAATGGCAGCTTGGCCTTGGAGCTTAACATGCTGCTATCTCCCTGGTAGTGTTGGTCTTCCAAGGAGACCTGATCATAATCCTCCTGCTGAGGCAGAAATAAAATAACAGCATGACCTTAACTGTCCGAAGTATCAGACATCACTCTGCAATGACCTGAAAGTGAATAATTAACAAAATCCCTGAATAATACTCTTAAAACAAGTCCTGGGGGTTGCGGTGCACGACGCAGACGAGATTACACTTGCGGTAGTAAACCACACATCCATTTAAAGTCATATTTAATCCACGTGTTGTTTGTGATGTACAAACTCGACGTATGGGCCTTCTTTTCTGTGCCATCACCAGATGTTGTGTGTGATGTAAAAGCAGGGCAAATTTGACAACTCTTAATACGTGGTACAAATGAATACCACCTGTGAGATCAAAAGAAACGAAACCTTTAGAGCCCAGATTAGACTCATTCAGACCCTCGGGCAATAGATAAGCACGTCCTCAGTGTAAATATAATTCATACATCTTATAGATTAACAGATTTGGCTCGAGCTTCTGCTTGGTCTTAGAACATGTCTCCATAAATGCTCTTAGAAACACTGCATGTCATTCAGCCTGGGGGCGAGGTCTACACTTGGATTTTTTTAAATTTTTTTAGGTAGGTTTAAGTTTATTTTTAGTCAAACTATTGAGTAAAACTGAGTAAATCTGGCAGCACTGATACATTTTTTGTTTGTTTTAATTCCTGTCGGTAAGGAAATGCTATGAAACAACAATCAAGGTGAAAATGAAATGGTAACACATATCAGGATACTAAATTCCTGAAAATTCATTTTTCCCCCCAGTTTCCTTACAAGATCTGTGTAATCTGGTGACAATGACAGAGAAACTGAAGAATTAAGAATTCAGCGGGTAGATTTTGGGAAATGACTGCAGATGGTATATTTAATAGCTAAATACATGAATAAAACACACACAAAAAAAGAACCTAATTAGTCCTGGAGGGAGTTCAGGCATTAACTTATTTGGTTTATTTTCTTATTTATATTTTGTCTCGCATATAAATTCATCGTTTGACCTGAACATTTCTGATTTGGATAATCCAAATCTTGTTTATTTTCTTTTTTTACCTCTTTGTCCTGTAAAACGCGAGCTTTGCTGAAGTTGACAGGGATGGGGCTCTCCCAGCTGTCTCTCTCACACAGCGGCTGGTAGAAGGCGGGGCTGATGAGCACACTCCCACCTTTGGCCACAGCGGACTCAGGGGGAGACAGCGGGTCGTCGGGAGGCGTCCTGCTCTGGGCTTTTACGTTTTCCTTGCACTTCTTCATGCTCAGGTCCAGGGTGCCGTTTTCATCCACCTCTATGAGCATGTCCTAAAGACAACAAAGGTGAAATGCACAAAATCTGATGTGCTACAGAAGAGTACAATAAATCGGATGTGGCTTATGAAAACAAATAAGCCAGAGGATAAAATTAAAAGGCATTCTCTAATTACAGCCTCAGGAATGTAAATAAGACAGCACAATACCTCATTAATATGACAATGAGGCAATATGGCAGACTTGAACCCCAGTAACATTTCTCTGTAAACACGAAAACTGACTTGAAAAGCAGCGCAAACAAACAGTGTATTTAAATAATACATACGGTGGTTATCTCACACCAGACAAAGTACCAAACTAAGCCAGCGTTAATTCTGCTGAACACAAAAAAATATATAATCACTGGTGTGTAGTTTTTCAGTGACAGCTGTGTCATCTGTTTTCTGGGACACACAACCAAGATGGCAGCTGGGGGGTGGCTGCTGGTTTTAGGTCATCATTATTATAGCAAAAATTAAAAAGCTTAATGTGGCATAAGTTTCCCCGCTGACAGATGTGTTTGTCGTTTTTGTGCTGAAACGCAATAGCATGATGACTTATGGCTGTTTTATGGTATTAAAAGTTGTACCTCATTAGATGTTAAAATCCTTTCCCATAAATGGAACCAATTATTCAATCCATATGTTTCATTAGACCCTATACATCATTATTTTTTGTAACAAAGAGAAGTGTGTGTGTGTGGGATCTTTCAAATTAATTAAAGGGGATAATTTTCATGAACACTGGATGAGGCCGTCCAGTTTAATTATCCAGCCATTTGATGGTGTGTGTACCTAATCAAAATAACATCACTGTAAAACTAAAGGATGCGCAGAGTTTTTGTGATTTATTTTCCCTCTAACGTCAGCTGGAGCTAAAAACAAAGACTCTAAATCTATATGTGTTTTTTTCCATATAACTGACATGTAAATACGGCCTTTAAACGTGCAAAATTATTCCGTTTTCAGCGAGCGTTTTTCTGCATTTGATATTTCAAAGCGTATAAGTTAAAGCACCAGACGACATATCACACTCTAAATATGGCCCCCTTTTTTTCAGACTTGAAAGCTGTTCTTTATTTTGTACGTCTCTCCAAGACAACTAAGCTGTAAACGAGAACAGATGATTAACTTGCTAACACTGTTTTATTCATTCAGTGGGCTGGTACCTGGTACAGGGCCACATTCTCAGCTCAACAAGCTGGGAGACAAGGATCTGTGCTGTGTAGGTGTGGAAACCTTGAATCATCTACAGTACAGTGTGCATGTATGTAACCCACAGAATGCGATCAATATTAATCATGAAGTGACTTGGAAAAAAAGTTGACTACAATGCCATATTACAGATAATGACAGCAGAAGAGATTTTGGATCTATGCTCTTCTCCAAAAAGAGTTTGGATTTTGTGTGAATTAAACTTTTGCTATGTTAACTCCTTTATCTGATGGGCTTAATCCACTCAAATGCTTTTAAAGACTATCTGGTGTAGACACACAGCCTATGCTGGATCATATAACTAAGCAAAATATCCTCTGCCATCTGCAGCGGGCAAGATGCATTCTCAGACAACAGTTCAAGGTTTTTACATGCCAGCTGATGTCGAAACAAAATACAATACCACATGTTTTATTAAAAAAAAAGGCGAGTAGTTGTAATTGAGAAAGAAGGCTGATTGTACTTCTTCTTTTGATGTGATTACACAAATTTTCATTTGTGTACATTAAAGCTTTATAGAGTGGAAACCTCCTTGTTTTTGTGCCACCAGAGTGCCAGGCTCTCTTTGCCAAATCCAGTCTTTTGATGTCTTCCCTTTTTATACACAAATCAGAGTTCCTTTAAAAATGACCACATTAAATACCTTTCCAAGTGGTCTAATTTGATTACCTTTGTGGAGGTTGCCAAGGGCCGGTCGGCGACAGCCTCCATGTTCTTCCGGTAGCGGGTGGAGAGGTTAAGGATGGCGGCTGTCGCTGCTGCGGCTTGGAGACTGTCTTCTTTTTTGAATTGACTCGGCGGGCTGTGTTGACCAGAGGTGGGCAGGCGGCCACCTGGAGCACCAAGGAAGCCAGGATACTGCTGAGGGGCTAAAAGACAAATAATTAGCAAATCATTTAGATATTGAGACACCAGGTGTTCAACCCAAACTTAAAAGTACCCAGAAAAAAGAGGAGATTTTTTGTTGTTGTTTTATCAATCACAGATATTTAAATAAAAGGCAGTCTTTGCAAATATATACAATATAGATCTGTGTCGTATGTAGATAGAGGTTGTAATTAGTGGCTAAAAAAAAGCATCCGCATTTATCCAACATCCTTAGTTACAAGTGTTTTTTTGTTTGTTTTTTTCAAAAAATGTGTGAAACTTACAATCAGGGTAATGCATCATTTCTGGGTCCTGGTTGGTCCCCATCAGAGGCTGCTTGCCGAAGACTTGTGCATCAAAGCTGGCGTAATCAAAGCGAATTCTGCTGTACTTGTCCATGTCTTTTGTGAGGCTAGTTTGTAAGGCTGCTACCGGGTGAGAGAGCCTATAGTTCAGCTGGTTCATCTCGAATTTCTTTATTAGGCCGAGGGCTCTATGAGGAGGAAAACAGATGACAATAAAATGCTTTACCGTGGTAAAGAATCGCCTAGGAACTTGTGAGAAAGGTGCTTAGAAAGTTAATATAAAGCAGTAAAGAGCAGACATTGTTTTTAACCATTGAGGGATGCCAGTGCTTTTGTACACTCAGAGTCTGGGATCTGATGTGTGTTGTAGATCCACAGCCAGGTTGCCAGACTAATTAATATAGTAGGAGTGGGCATCCTGCCCATGATATATCCACAGGGAACAAAGAGTTCTGCTCTTTTATCATCTCTAATAGAGAGGAACTCACAGGGACCAGCAACCATTGCTTATGTCTGCTTGGAAAGCTCAAAATAGGCATGTTCTGCTGGGATTGCTGAATAAAAATATTCTACACCGCCCTTAACAGTAATAGTGTTTATCACTTTTTTGCATAACCTCAGTTATGTCTGTAGAACTTCAGTCCACTACAGAGCTCGCTGTAATTATTTTCCTGCATGTGACCACACTGAGAGCACTGAAAACGTCATGTGGCATAATACCTCGGTGAGCGGTCAGGTGTTTGTCTGCATTTCAGGCTCTCATCCTGAGGTTTGGAGACTTTCACTGCAGCAGCGATGGGGCAGCCTGAGAGACTGGTTGGGGAGGAAATCAAACACATTAGCCTAATACTGTAACTCATGTATAAACAGGGTGCAGAGTTTCTAATGGATTTCTCCTGTGGATGTACCTCCGGTGGGTGCTACGGTTGCTGTTGACATGGCCTCTTCCTGTGCACCCAGGCGTAGGACATTTGAGGACGTTCTCGTGCATCGCCAGGACTGAGGGGATGACAAAGAACAGACAGACATGACATAAGCTCAGATAAGCAAAGATAAACATTTCTAAATTAGCAACATGCGAGACATAATCAAGCTTAAAGATTAGGATGGTAAACACACAACGTATATATATGCCGAGCATTTTGGAAATAAAACAAATACATTTTCCTGCATTAAGTGAAGATTTATATAACCGGCACATTAGAGCCTACACAGGAAAGATCCTACAGAGACAGAAGAAGAAGAAAAAACACACACGCACACACAAACGGCTTTTCTCATTGTGAGGAATGCTGTAATGTGGCTGAAATGTAAATAGCTTAGTGCAAAGAGAGAGCGTAACAAGACAGCTGATTATATTCTTCAAAACAAACACGTCGTTAAAGGTCCGCTCTGTATCCTTAGAAACTTCTTTTCTGTACATATCCTCCAATTAGTTTGTTGGAGTTGTCTATTTATTTTTGAATACTGCGTTAGCTAGCCCTTTGATTTGCAAATACGGCCTCCAGTCTAAGAGCATGTGCTTTTTTGAAAAAGTTAATTACTTTTTCTGTTCCTTTTGTAACATTACTGTTTAATGTTGAATGTTTGTTGAGTTACATTGAAATGACTTAACAATCGCCAATGCGGGGGAAAAAAAAAAAAAGAATTCAATATTCACACATTACAACACATTACGAGAAAAAGAGGGAGGGGGAGAGAGAAAATCCTTTAAGTTTATTTGAAAAGTTTTGTGCACGTCTTTGAATTCAGCTAAATGTATAAGCAGGCCTTTCTTGTTTTGGGCTCGTGCTAAGAGGATTTCAATTACCGTCGGCTGATTGTAAAATGTAAAACTGGTCGTTTTTGTGAGTGTAAACCATCCATTACACTGTTTGCACACACAGAACCGCTTAGTGACTTACTCTCTGGGGGGACTCGGACTTTATGAGGACACCCAGACAGACTCCTGTGATGAGGGTACAGGCCGGTGGCGTGACCAGTGCCATCACAGCCAGGAGTTGGACACTTTATATCCTTTTTATCTGCCCGTGGAGAATCTGTAGAGTCAATAAAGAAAGATTTTACAATAAAGAAAACACCATAACCACTAAGTGATGGCAAAATGAATGCAGCTACGCTGTCTTTAAGAGTAGAACTAAAGAAATAAGAGTGTCATATTATATTGTATATATTGTTCTGAATGCATATTACACAAAGGTAAAGAAACTGAAATATCATGCAAAGTCAGCCTCTCTTTTTTTCACAATACCATCTATTAATCTGTCATTTTAGTTATGGCTGCAGTTTAACGGAGAGCATTCACTTCTTAATGCCCACCCATCGAAAGATTACATCTAGGATTACACATTTAGCTGCAGTCATTTGAAGAATCAGAGGGAAACATCAGAGGTACTTTAGGAGGATTTAAGACTTATGGTCATGGTTAAATATCCAGTTGATTCCTATCAAAATCCAATATTCTGAGTAGACGCAATTCCATTAGAAAATTTTGTTCTTTTTTTATTTTAGACTGTTTATTTATTACTTCACTTGTTGCCAAAATGTTTTTAGTCTTTAAGAGGATTTCCTCCCTCTGATTACCCCACCCCCCTAAAAAAAAATGCTTCTTTTATTCCTTTTAATGTTTTCTGAGCGCCCAATCATCCAAATCACAAGTGGTCCATCTGATTTAAACTGGATGAAACTTGATTTTTCTTTAGATCAACCTTTTTATTTCTTATTACCTTTTCCTCCATGATAGGTGAGTCTGCCGTCCATCTCCATCATTCTGTGGTGCCTCCTCTCGGTGGTCATCTGCTCCATGAGGAACCGGTCCATCTCTCTGTAGGCATGGTGCAGGACCTGCCTTTGCTCTGTCTGCAGAGCTATGGCCTGCTCCAGCAGGCTCAGGTTTACCCTCCCTCGGCTCATTTCAAGGCCTCTCTCGTGGAGGCCCAGAGCCCAGGCGTCTAGCCGAGGCGGCCTATCTGCCTCTGCTTCCCCTTCACTGTCCGCCTCCATGGGGAGCAGCCTGTATCGTAAAGCTTCAGCCTGAAAAATGTTCGCTCTGCCCAGTGGACCACCTAATTCTAAGTGAGGCTCTTCTTTCACGTGCCCATTCCTGCCTGTAACATCTTCAGAGAGTCTGGAAGGACTGCAGTCTGAGCTGTTCACCTTGGCAGACAGAGCCAGAGGCTCCCACTCGGCTTCCCTCATGTCTCCATATTGACTCTGTGGCGAGGACGTACTGCTCATCCTGTCGTGACTTTGGTCTTCTTCATTATTAAGAAACTCCTCGTCATCTTCATCCATCAGAGGTTCAGATGTGTCCGGCTCACACTGTGGCGAGCCAACAGACGTAACTTCAGACCATCCAAGGGAACTGCTGGACTTTGCTGCCACATCATGGCAGCCATTTTTGTTAGTCACTCCATTGACTGTGTTTAAGTTTCCATCTAAAACAATAAGACAACACTGATTATTCGACACGTTCAAGTCTTTGCATGCTGAACTTGCTCATTTGTGACCCTTTAGTCACATAACATGATAAGAATTGTGCGCCCATGGTAATCTTCTGTAAATCCTTTTAAGGTTTTAGATTTTGTGTTACTTTTCTATGAAAAATATCTTGCGAAAAACATGTTTTTATAACCATTTATGGGATTTAAAAGAGTACATGATGCACTGGAAAGATAATCACAAGGTTGTCAGATTTCCAAGCAATTCCTCAAGCATATTTTAGATAACATACATAAACCTTCATTCTGCTAGTTCAACATGAAACCCAGACATGAGGAAGACAATTGTTTTTTCACTTTGTTGTTGTTTCCAATTGGAGCAACAACCCAATATAGATTTAGGACAAGATTATGAAAGGATTTACACTGTGTTGGGTGGAAAACATCAGTTTATAATTAGTTATGTGTATTTTAAAGTGCAAGCCAAGCAGCAACATGTTGTCATCCGAAAAACCGATTTGAAAAACATAATGTACATCTTGTTTCGAGGGATAAGAGCAAGAAAAGTGAAGAGGATTCCTGCAAACAGAGAATAGAGAAAATAGATAAAAGAGACAAATCTCTGTAAGATGGTGCTGTGTGTGTGGCAGAACCTGATTTAGGAAAAGCCAGCCATACACCGCAGTCACAAAACTGATGATAATATTTGTTGGGTACAAACGGGAGCCCGCTTTGCCCACAAAAATGAGAGACTTAGTGAACTTGACCCAAACTTGCTGAAAATGTGAAATCTTTGGCTTAATTTGATTAGATTAAAAAAAAAAAGAGCCATTACAGCGCTTTAAAAAAAAATAATTTTCAGGGCATTTACATGGAAAATTAATGGTTGTCAAAGTGTCAAAAGCTGAACTGAAAATAAAAAATTATCAAGCTTTTACAAGTAAATTTGACTGAAACTGTTAAATTAAAACAGGTGTTTGTGAAATATTGAAATTACATGTCCAATGTGTGATTGTGTACTGTATGCGGAGCACAGAATAGCTGCTGATACGAGCCTTTCCTATGTTCTACATGCTATTTGCTGCCTGAATTTGTGCATGTAATATAATGAGCTTATTAAGATCTTTATTTTTTTTTTTTTGCCTCGACATATTTGCTGCTTACTGGGAAGCTGAACCACATATAATATTATTTGAGATTAAAATCAAAGGCGGGATACTGCAGTAGGAGGTAGATTCATTACGAAAAAGTTTTAACGAATAAAAGCTCTTCAACAAATTCAGATTTTTATTAAATCAAGCAAATTACTCAGTGTTTAGCTTTTGGCATTCTGTATCCCATGTGGGTGTTAAAGAAACCACATATAATGTTTCGAGTGCAGATGAATAAAATATGCACGCATGTCTTCTTATATATAATCTCTTTTTTCCGGCTTATTTTGCTGAGTGCTCTAAATAATTCAATTTGCACCGACCTTTGGCCTGCCATCTTTTTGAATAAATCCAAAAATCCCAGTCATACGCACAGAAAGCCACAAGATTGTGTGAAACCTTATGCACTGAAAGTCTGATCAGTGGAACAGACAGAGAGGGTTAGGGTTATCCCTCAAAATGCATCTGAGACAACGCTTTATTAACGCCACTGATCATATTAAGTCATGGTCAGTGATTAACAATGGAAAGCTATCATCTGGATTGATTCAACAAAATCTCTCTTGATCCTCGAAAATCATACAAACTTATGCGCTATTAAAGCTCTTTGGACTGTGAGGGGTTTTACTTTCAGTAGGCTGCACGGGAAGTCTATATCCTCTTAAGTAGCCACACATTAGAGGCCAAACCAAAAAGTAGGATTCAATAGATTGAGAAGATAGATAGAGATGGATTGTGAGAATCAGATCACACAGTGCAGAGGACGGTACAGATACAGGCATTATCAGACAGCTGCGACTCATTAATGGGAGCGACACAAAAACCTAATCCTTGCCAAAACAGCTTTAAAAAACGACAGAAATTATGTGGCACTAATGAAAAAAAAAAAGCTAAATATATGATTTCCTGCATTGTTAAGTGCACATGTCTGGTTTGACATGTCTGTGCTTTTACATGCATTTTTGCTCAGGCGACATTACGGTGTGTTACTATCTGTTCCCTGCTGTGAAAAATATTTCGAAAGAGGCATCTAAAGACAAACCCTGTTGAATGAAAAATTAAAGCCAGTTACACATATTTACATTTATGAGGCAAGCAACAAGGGTTTTGTTTTTCATCCAGATGGACTCCCAGGCCTGACACAGCCGCATACAGTCAGACAAGCACACAGACATCCACACACACAAACACACGTATATATATGCACACAGACACACACATGCACAGCAGTGCAATGAAAAAAGGAAAGACACGGAGGAAAAAAACTTGGATCCCTCCGGTGGTTTGTGTGTTGGAACAGGTGAACAGTTTGTACTCCAGAATAGCCATTACCAGCACTCTGCAGCAGGGCTGCAGTTGGCTGGAGTTGAACACAGTGTGGCTCAACCAAACGAGAGGCTTATTTTTCTCCCTTTTTGTTAAAATGCAGATATGACCAGCTCCCTTCTGCAAAAATTCTTACTGCCTCCAGTCCACTTTTCCAATTTTTGTTTTTACCACAGGAAAATAGCCCCCACATCTGACAATCACAGCAAAATATGTTCTGAATATGTTTATCAATATTCGTGTTCTTTTGACACATTCAGATTTTTTTTAGTTTTTAAAAAAATTCTGGCTTGATTTTGTTTTGTTTTAGTGAATATCAGGTTCAAATAAGGGGGAAAAAATATATAAAGCAGTCAATCAATGATAAATAGAAAAAGTATCTGGAATACACAACAACAAAAGGAAACACTGGTGATGCACAGTGAATAACTTAGATAATTGTAATGTAATATGAACCCAGGAAACAAATAAATTCCATTTCCAATGAATCCACACAATTTAGTGAGCTACTCTCCTGGTCCATTTAACTACACACATGTGTACTATAATGAGCTGTAGACATTATGCCTAATTATGTATTAGACTGTGTTAGAGGGCCTAACAAAAGCTTTTGAAAGGGACAATTACGTTTGTTGCTTAGTTACATCGTTAAAAATATACCAAATCAGTGCAGATTATAGTGGGCGAGAATGCACATGTACACCACGAGCATTGTTGCCAAAATGCACAAAATTCAATTTATTAGGAAAAAAGAAAACATTTTTGCTTGTGAGAAGGACGGCGGCATAAGTGAAAATCAACAATTTTTAACTGCTGCAGATGAAGTGTCCCTGCGGGTAAGTAAAAAAAAAAAACAAGTAAAAGAAAAAGAAATAAAACAAAAAAAAAGAGAGTAAAACAGCAGAACGCCAGCCAAGCAGCGGTGACAGCTCATTTGTTTTTCACAAAAGGCAACTTCAATAAAAATTTTGTAGAAAAGAATGGAGGAAGTTTAATTTAAATCAAAGTGAACTGGTGCACGCCTCCATTCAGTTTCTCATTCTATGGATTCAATTGATTTGGACTGGCTATTGAAAAAGGACAGATGAGGGGTCTGAAATTTGGCCTCATCAAAAGAGGGTAAAGCCACGCCAAAAATATCATGGCAGATCAGCTGTCAAAACTTCAATTTGTGGATGTGAGACACAACTAATGTGGACCCAGCAGTGTAGTCTTTCACTTCCACTGCACAATGACTGCGGCTGCTGGCTGATGGTAGAGGGAGGGAAATATGAATGCAACAGATGGGATTTTAAAATTCAGCGTCAATTGTTCATCAAAACAGACAAAACAACAGGACATCTGTTTACCTGCTGGAGTGTCAATGTTCCTCAGCTCTTCTTTGTCCTGTGGCGGTGCCAGGTCCTCACTCTCCTCTTCACATGCCTCGCTGGGGCTGTAGTGGCGGGGCTTCATCAGCAGGGACTTTCTCTTGTTGATGGGGGCACCCTGCACCCCTTCCTGAGCACTCCTCTTCCTCGCCATGGACCCATATGGGCTGGAGGGGAACAAGGGAATAGAGGAAAAACCCAGCAGGGTCAGCGGAGGCCTCAGTTGGCCTATTTTAAACTTCAGACTACAGTTTTTTTTTAGCAATCACATCTAAGATTTGGGAAGAACGTGATTCCTTTCTGGCTTAAAGGCGAAAATGTGCGCGCACTTCATAAAATGCTTACCTGTGAGTCTCAGTGATGGAGTCAGTCAGCCCTGTGAAAAATAAAGGCCAAGAAATAACAGATAAAAAAAGTTGTGTTTACATTTCCACTGCAGTAGCACAGCATCTGTCAACATGTATTTCATCTAAGGGTTTAAGGCAACTGACTACTTTTGGGCTATTAGTCACGAAATTTTACAACATACTGTAAATATTTGTTTTGTAGATAATGTTTTAGGGATGATACCACATGGGCTACCCGCGCTTTATCCAAGCTTTTAGCATAGATTTTTTACTCCCTTTTACAATGCCATCGGGTATAATCAGCATAAGGATGTAGAAGTGGTCTCTTCATTGATCTGAAAAGCTTTTCATTCAGTCTGCTCATTCTCTGGGAAACCAACAGTAGCTCATCTTTTGACAGTGTTGACAACATGATCTAAAAGGGTAAATCAATTTTCCCAAAGGCCTGCATAAATCTCATTCACAAGTTCTACCCCTACTCCCATGAAGCACGACCAATAATAACACTTTTCATGAATTTTCCCAGTTGTAGTAATAGCTCCAGCGTGAGCAGGAAGGCCTCAGAGGCCCTGAACACTTGCATAATGACATATCCAGTCTAGAGGTTTTCAATCACACAATATATACACACTCCTTAACTAATTTGAGCCAGTGTTCCAATTTAATGAAGTTATTCCCCTCTGAATAATGAAATGGCGGTGCAGTGCTCTTCAGACCGGTAAGATAATACATAAAATTGACAGTTATAAAGTTGGATTGTTGAACTGATACCCCTAGCCCATGGTGATAAGTGGAATGCGTGTGTGTGTGTGTGCGTGCATATCTGTGTATGTGTGTGTGTGCACGTATTTAAAAGCAAACTAAACCTGAAAGCTGCACTCACCTGTGTTACTGTCACATGTTTTCAAGGTTTGCTCCTCACCTTCAGAATCCATCTGCAATAAACCATTAAATGTACAGATGAGCAACTAAAAGAGGCTTTTTAATCCATTTAATGTGTATTAATTAAATTCTCTTAAATGACAAAAGGCTTAAATACTTAATAGATTAATGTGCATTTTTTTTTTTGCCTTGTTTGGCAGGTAAGCAGGGTAACCAGAGCCACTGAGCCTCAAAATCTTTTTTTTTTTTTTTTGCGGGGGGGCAACATCACAAAGAGCTCTAAAAACACCAGTAATATGCAAACACATAAAGTATAATGCCAGGAAAAAAAGTTTCAAAGGTGAGTAAAAATGTAATGACACTAAATAATGACATTAAAGTACGGACAGCACCTCAGAGAGTGTGTTTAGACAAAAATAGTTGCTAAAATCCATCCACTCTCGCTGGCTGTTGCTTGTGGGTCCCAAATAAAACCTATTAAACATAATTATTCCAGGCTGATGGTGGCGTATAGTGGTCACAGGCCAGTGAAATCTGTGAGTCATAGGATATGCTGTTACTTTTCCCTGGTAATGGGAAACATGACTCCTCTCTCTCGTTTGCTGTTGTGATTGAAGGCACTGACCTGTCATACATTTATAATAGGGGAGCAGGTGTGGCAGTGATGGACCTTAATTTCCTTTAATAAACCTTTTATGTGCCACACTCTTAATGCCACGCCGGGCCCTCAGAGGTCCTGCTCATAATAGGTTCATTACTTTTGATTACTAGAGCCTATTGAGACAAACAACTCCCAAACACTATAGATTACATTCTGTAAAAATGAATGTACCTCATTAGTTTGTAACACTTTTCCACACAGACATGCTTTAACATTTTGTATAAATGTGTTGCTCTGAAGGCAAAATGTTGGTCTTGCATCATGCAACCTGAGATTATAACATGGACATTAATCAAAGTTCAAATGATGTTATCAGTGCACTGAAATATCACAGCTGACTCATAATGTTACCAGGGTGTTTTTCCCCCCCTTTCTTTATGTGACATTTTAGATGTGCCTATCTTATGTAAATATTTACATAACTTTCTTATATTATTTTATAGTATCTACATTTTCTCTGATCAGTCAAGAGTATTGTGTGTTATGTACGTGAAGTAAGCAAGCTTCATGACATTAATGATTATATTAATAGGAATAATAAGAATAATAGATGGTAAGTATTGTAAGCCTAACCAGTAAAAACAATTTTGATATAAATAGTTTTAGTGGCTGTTTTGTATATTTAACTAGAGCTTCTTTTTCAATCAATCAGTTTCACGTATAGAAGTCTGAGTCTGTTTGTGAGCGCTGCTCCGAAATGGAGACACACAGGCATTTCTGACGCACTGTTAGCAGTCGTCGTGACACAGTACAGTTTGTATCAAATCCATATAACAAGGAGTGACACGTAACAATAAAACAAGGAAGGCCTTGTTAGGTATCTGTGGTTTCCTAACAGGTATTCCTGGCATGGCAACAACATGGGTAAACATGTGATGTGGAGTGTTTACAAAAGCAGAACAAATAGATACAATCAGGGTCAAATGGGAGCTTTTATTGACATCCCCTAAACAATCTGGCTAAAATCATTATGTAAGTTACCTTTTCATTTTTTTTCTCCTATGACAGTTCTTCTCGTTAGTGGATTATACATTTTACAGGGTGACTTGTGATGGTGTACAGGGTAATAATAATAATCTATATCAAACCTCCACATATGGCATTTATAAACAACATTTTGCACATTTATGTAATTTATCATTTATATTTGTCAGGAAGTACAGCCCCAAACCCTCTACACTCACAAAGACAGGCAGGTGTAATAATGTCTTGTCTGTACTGAGAGGAAAAGTCACAATTGTTCACAAACATCTTGTGTTAGCAAACATAGACTGTCCTTAAAAATGTTAAAGGGACAGGTTAATATAAAATTTTACCGTTGGAATTTAAAATATGCATATTTTTACTGTATAATATTCTAATTCTAACATATTAACCACCGTAATTATCTGCTAAAAATCAAATTAATTGGTCAGTGATATTCAGTCAAACCAAGTTAAATAAATATAATTTGTTTAAGTTATTCTGCTGATCTTAAATTCATGAAAAAATCCACTTTGTAAAAATTGTAAAGTAGGTGGTGAGACTTTTTTTCAGATTTTGAAGGTGTGCAAGTCAGAAAAAGTTTAGATCGCTGATCTAAATCTAAAAATAAAAATCTATAAAGAAAGATAAATATATAGAGAGTTATATCACACACACACACACACACACACACACACACATATATTTTTTTTTCTTTCTTTTTTTAATTTCTTCCAACTGTGCACACATTATAGAGGAATAAATGGGATTGCTGTAAATGCACTCAGATTAGAACAGAATACAGGAAAGAATAACGACAACAGTAAATTTTAAAGCTTAATAAGCTTTTACTGTATTTATATTTTGTCTATATGAAGTCACTGATTTATCTTTACTGATATATTTGTGAGTTCCACACCTACACACTAAAAAGCAGCACAAAAAGGAAAAGAGCAAGTGATCAACATTTTGCATACTTTAATGTTGGTGAAACACTAGTGTGTCTTTAAAGTCCTTGCACTGAAATAGTGCTGAGTAAATCTCTCTCTAAACTTTCTACTAGGCTACAAATCCAGTTGAGACAACCTGACATATAAAAGGCAATCATCACTTAACAAAAAGCGGATTCAGCAATAGCCTGTAAAGAGTATAGTATCTGCCAGCCACCCACAGCCCTGCATAAGTAAAAACCAATCTCACTTTATGATCACTGTGGTCAAAGGGGCAGTGGCACTCCACCACTTAGCATGCTACTTATCCAAAACACTGTTACACAAGCATTTATCCCTTTCTGTCCCTAACAAAACTTATTTTTTACTTTGTGTTTACACTCTAGGCTCTGTCTGTGCCACATCTGTGACAGATTATTTACCTTTGATTGTAGTTTCCCAAGCGCTCTGTAGACTAAGATGCCAGATCCACACTGTTCACCCTGGTTGATGATTTCACGCTTGTTATCTTTCAGGAAATGATCATGTAATTCATTATCTATGAAGAAAAAATAAAGACATAAGTACAAGTTTAAAATCTTACCTCACAATCTGTAACTTTTTCACATATCCCAAAACCAACTTTTGGAGGGTTTGTATTCATAAATTTTTAAATTGTTGTGTGAACATGAACATGTATTCAGAAAACAGGTGGAAAGAGCATATTAACATCTCACATGGAATAAGGAACACGATGCAAATTGATTGCTTGACAGGGATCAAATTGCTTGCTTCTAATTAATACAAAACATCCAAGAGGGAAAACAAGGATGAACACAATGAGTACATTAAGCCTCTTCACTTCACAGATCTTATTATGGAATTATTTATTTCTGTTAGCTTTGAAAAAAAGAAAAAAACATCTTCTTAATTATAGCTCACAGAGCGTTTCCCCGGAAAAACAAAACTGGGGGAAAAAGTAGGGGGGTGGGGGTTATTCACTCAGTTTCATTAGCATATGAAAAAGACTCACTACTATTCGGGCTTGTTCGTCATCTGCTGAATCATATTTATGCCCCCCGCGCACACACACACACACACACACACACACCCCAAGTGCAACATAAATAATGCTTCTCAGAGGATGGTTTCCCTGCGTCTAGGGCAGATTTCTCAGGGGGAAAGGAGGCAGCCTGATGCTGAGGGTCCATGAGATTTTCTATGTGTTAATCTGGCTGCTAGCTGTCCTTGAGCCCAGCCCATTCCCCCCTAACCCCATCTGCTAGCATTCCCACCACAGAGGAGAGAATGGGCTGCGACTGGGGATAGAAAAAGAGAGAGACCTTCCCAGTCCAGCAATCATGAATAACCATTGCCTCGCACCATTATCAGAGAGGCTGGATCCAAGCTGAGATGGTGGAGAGCAAATGTCTGTAAAACACCCCAACGCTCCTGACGTTACTCAAACCGCACTCTCGCATTTTGTTGTAAGTGATGCTATTATTATTATTTTCAAATAATGCCTTATTAATACTGTGCAGCTGCTGTGGATATTCATCACTGACCTTGAGTCTTTGTGTCCCCTTGTTCCCAGCTTATCCGTGCACTTGGGACGCTCTCGTGTAATTAACGCAGACATTATTGTGATGGAGTAAAAAAAAATAAAAACTCTGAGCAGATACCTCATCTTGAAACCAATAAAGCGGGCCAGAGTAGCAAAGTAAGATTCTGGAGACCATAAAATTAATTACATTATTTACATTTCCTTTAGATAGGGGGGTACAGGCGAGATGATAGAGGCAAATGAGATTACACAAAATAAGATTTCAAAATGTCAGTGCTGCACACTCAACCAACCAACTGTTATGATTAGATTACTCTTTTAATATAATTACTGTCTAAGGCTGTGCGTGTGTGGAAACAATGCATACATAAAACACAGGAGCAGCGTCTTAACTGATTCCCATCCTTTTCTCCGCGAGTCTTTTTCTCTTAACCTTTCTTCAACAGTATCATTTTGAATTATAGGGAACGGATGGGTGCTCTGTGCAAGGTCACTGTCTGGTGTGTACTCCCCCCCCTCCTCCCATCGCTCCCTGTTTTTGTTTCCTCTTCCAGAAGCACACTGAGTGAAGGGTTAAAACTGGAATGGATTTAATTATGGAATGAATGGAATTATAATGCGCCTGCAGCAAGTTTTCCTCCTTATTTATTAAAGCAGCTGATGGGCCAGGTTTGATGAGCCACTTCTGGCATAATTGAGTCATCACACAAAGAGGGTTCCTCGCATTCAGAGTGGTTTTATCAGCAGCAAACAGACCTGATTACTGGCAATTACACTCTGATCTAGGGGAAGGAGAAAAAAAGGGTAAATGTGCGGGGTAACTTCTGTGTTTATAGTTTACCCCGGGAATAATTTTCACATTAATTTTACATGCTAAGTGTTTTCTGTTTGTGTATAATAAAGAGTGAACGGCAGGCGATAGCACCTTTTACTTTCATATTTTCTTGTAATGAATTTCTGCGAGGAAATTGTGAACTGATCTCAGTTCATACTGACCCTATAGGAGGTTTGAGAACCAGCCAAACATACAGCCTGCCTAGCTGAAGCTAAAGGGTGAGCTACCTGCTTGGAAAGTGATCCCATCATCTCTGTGGAAGCAGGTAAAACTGTATGCACAGCTAAAATGACAGATTTTGTTGTTGTTGTTTTTTAATTATGTCAGATGGGAAATGGATAAACTTCTGTTCAAAGCGACTTTTTATGTCTTTTTGAGAGATTTCCATGAACACAAGAAAAAATATGTAATTTAGAAGGTGAAGTGATCATAATTTTTAGAAGTGCAATTTATAGGTTTTTTTTTTTAACATTTCACAATGTGTAATTGTCAGTTACCTTCATGGTAAAATTGACAGTTTATCAACACTTCACGGCGCTGGCAGATTTGCTCTGTTCATAATATTATTACATATTTTCACCTGAATCTAGGGACAAAAGAGGATGAACAGTTTTGCATTTCCCCTTATATTAACAAAAAAATATTTTGCACAACTCTACTTTAAGAGCTCAGAAAAAGAAAAGTATTAGGCTTTTTTACATGTGCAGTATGTATGTGCAAAAAAAATACTGTATCTTAAAAAAGAAAGAATCTGCCAGCAATTTATGAGCATTCCTCTGTGTAATGGAGGTTTCTGGATTCATGCAGACACAGTCAAAATCTTGAAGTCAACTGCGATTTCAGATATAACAGCCTCACAGCTACCCTGACGGCCAAGCAAAGTGTTTGTGCCTTTTGCCAAAGAGTACTTTTATAGAGAAGCGTATTGGCATCTTATCACTTCTCCAAGACAGAGATGCTTCAATAAAAGAACACAGCTCACAGAATTCTTAACAGACAATTAGGAGCCTGGCTAGCCACTAACGCTTCAATGATTTGTTATGATGGCATAACTACAGGGGAAACTTGTTATTGGACAGAGTTAGCAAGAGTCCCATAAAAGAGTCAGATGGTGACACCTTTGCCGAGGTGATTTATGAATCTTGTAATCGCTTTCCAAAGTCATCCCAAAGCCTTCCCTCTAAATTGAGTTCATCTGGAGCCGGACCACACAGAGGCACCAAGTCCAGATTGTTTCTTCTGACATCAAAGAGCCAATTTCTGTTTTTGACCAAATTTCTGCTGCTTTTAGTTCCCTTATCGTATGAAAGGCTAGATGATATGCTATTTTATTTGTGAATTTCAATCCAATTACGGACACCAAAATATTGAGACAAATAAAATTAGTATCTCCTTTCACTGCACTATCCATCAATAGGATAATAAATGGAGCGGCAAACAATTCATCCATTGGCAAGTCTCCAGCATGCCAAACCGCTCTCATGTTAGTTTGAATCTTTGAATTCTGTCATGTACATGGTTTTTCAAACCTGTCTAATTTGGGGACAGGTGTTTGGGGAGAGAGAAGTTCCAGCCCCGGTGTAACAATGAGCAGAGTAATCCTGCTCATTGTTCCTGCCCAAGGAGCCCCTTTCATGAAGGAGGTTGCATGAATGCTACCAGGTGGTCTGCAATTTGGAGAAACGTAGTAACCGTTCCAGCTAATCCCCCGTCACAAAAGGCAGGTCTCCGGCGCTCTGGGCCTCTCCGGGGCAGAGGGAAAAGTTTACCTTGAACACATAGTGTCTGAAAGGAGTCAGGACTCGAGCAGTGATTCCTAATCAGATTGCGCTCAAGTGAACAGCTCGCATGGCAGCTGTAGTTTTCCCAGGGTTAATTACCTTTCACTGCTCTCTCTAAATGAGTCAGCTGTTCCTGTCATTAAACAACTCCACTCTATCTCTGCTCCTCTGTCCTCCTCACACATGTGCACAAGTGCACACGGGTGTGCACGGTCACGCACACACTGACACTGCGCCACACGCACACGGACATGCCCCTTTGTTTTTCTTACCCATTATATTTAATGCATTGTGTACGGTGATCAAAGAGTGTTAAAACATTATTTAGATATTAAAGTGACTTTGGTCGAACTGCAAGTCAGTCGTGGCCACAGAAATGGAGGTTGCTGTATTTTTATTTATGCTATGGATGTTTATGCAGATAGAAGGCAGTAGTCCCAACACACCTCCCCTACCCTGCTGAGGAAAAATAAGACCAATCTGTCAAGGTCTTATTCTAAACAGACCCTTTAGTATTAATTGAGCACATATAGGAAGCAAACATGGTCACATATGCGCACACACAAACACGAGCATACGTACATACACAGAAACATGCGGATACACATACATGCACACACAGAGACAGAGTCCAGCTCTGTAATAGTTGTGCTGTCATCAATTCTGAACAATCTGTCTACTCACTGGGCTCAGTGGCTCAGGATGTTGGGGGAGTTTTAAGTGATTTTTGCCACTGTATGGTAAAATCCCTCGGCCACCTGGATTACAAACTCTAGTCCTTTAACTCATGCCAGTATAAATCCGTGTTAACTCGGATTTACCTCTGGCATATGAATTCTCAATCTGCGTAAGCTTTGTTTGGAATGAGTCGAACATAAGTATTTCATGCAGTAAGGATGCCCAGTGGTGAATTCCTATTTCTGTGAAACACACACTGGGACACAGTTCAGGACTAAATCAGTCATCAGAACAACTAGAAAAGCCTGAAGCTGTGCTTTAGTACGGTCAAAAGGTGAGACCCGTATGGCCGCTCCCATCCAGGTGGAAGTGTGCAGTGCTGCACTGTGAAATCCACATAACCATGGTGAGAGATATAAACTCAGAGCTGTACACTGTGGTCAAGAGTTTAATCAGATTCCTCACTCCAAGCTTTTGCTTTGCTTATTGTCAGGCAAACATTATTTGCTCAGTTGTTCAAACACAAGTCCTGGTCTGCTACCAAAGCGATCATGATAAAATAAAATATGGCATGAGCAGCCTGGAGGATCTAAATTAAGTATTATCCAATATCCATACAATCTCTCGCACTCACACACACACACAGACTTCTGGGATAGCAGAGTTAAGCCAGACTATTTTGTACTTAAAAGGTTAGCAGGGCTGTTTTGTGAGTTTGATCCACGCTTGCCAAATCAGCAGATGGTCCATGAATATGATTATATGCATCAATAAAAGGAGTAATCTTTAACAAAATGTAAATTTGACTTAAGTCCAGGGTTTAATATACAAGATGGACTTTCACCCACTTCCCAGCCTGACAGAAGAGCACGATAAGCTAATGCACTTCAAATTTCGTATTACAGCAGCCACTACTGACGCTGCCTGCTACTATTGTGAAGATCAAAATAAGGAGTCGGAGGAAAGGTAAACGATATCTGCACGGCGCTCAGATGTGCGTGTTTGCACTGAAACGTCCGTTCACTTTGAACGAGCTAAGCAGTAAAGCAGTCGATACAAACCGAGCCTCTCTCGTGCTGTCCTGCCTCTTTTTTACGTTAAACACTCAATGCATTTTAGGCAAAACCGAGCAAAACAACAACATTAAGATATCTGACCATCGCAAAAATAAATGAACCATTATATGTATAAACATCTCTATTTTTTCGTGAATAACAACCAAGTCATAGCTCCGATGTAAACTAACATAAAGTTCAAGCAGCCTTGTGGCGAATGGAAAGAGACGAAAAAAAAGTTTGAGCAGGAATTGAGAAGTTAAGAATGGTGAAGTGAAATGTGGTGATCTTACTCTGAGCCACATAAAACAGCATCACTGTTATTGACCCGGCCATGAATCTACTTATCTGAGCCCGAGGCTTACACAGCACATCGCATCCTCACACAGCCACAATCACTTGTCTTCTGCATCTAAATGCACTCGTGTTAACATGTCCGACAGGGCAGAATCGCGAGCTCGACTTACCATGCCCCCTTTAGCCTTTGTTTTGCATCTCTCGGGGACATCGGGGAGGTAGACGGAGCAGAAGGATACCGAGGTGGGGTACAGGGTAGTCCAGAGTCTCGCTGCTGAGGAGAGTGTGTTTGGTTGGGGTTTGTGTGTGTGTATGTGTGTGCGTTGTGTGTGCGTGCGTGTGTGCAGGGACACTGTGATATTCACCCGAAACGCTAAGCTTTTTTTCCCCCTCTTTTTTTTTGTAGCCTTTGTGTCATTCACTTAACAACCAATCTCATTAGCTGCTGGGCTACAATGGTCTGAATTATTTTCTGTATAAATACACCACATGGTGATCTTCAAGGTAAGACCTCTGAAGGTCTTTTTCTAAACCAAAGAAAGGTAGATAGCCCATCAATAAATAAATAAATAAATACAAAAATATATAAAATAATTAATAAAATGGGAAAAAAAATGGATAATAAAAATAAACTGAAATAATTAAACGCAAGAGTCATTTAGAGTGGTTTTACTGTAACAAAAGTGAATGATGATACTTGACGGTATACATACAGTATGCATTAGAATTTGTGCTCCAACTTAAAGGGGGGAAAAAAACTTAAGAGGACTGTCGAGATTAATTATATGACCATAGTTGAATAAAAAAGAAATAGATGTCTTAAAACTGGGTACAGCTTTAGTTATTTAACACTTCGCTTGCTGGTGTGTTGTTGCCGAACCCTGAATGCATGTAAAATGTAACTATTGTAAGTACTTGAAGTCATGACAGCTGTCTATAAGCATCAGGGACATGTCTATTGGCCAACTTGACCCTTGTTAGAAAACAAAACAAATACAAAAAAGAGAATACTGCAGCCTGGGACTGCCGAGCCGGGTCACTGGAGATTTTCCAGACAAACGCCGCACAGGGGAGGGGAGGGGAGGGGAGGAAGAATAAAAAGGACAGGCTCAGAATCTCATTTTAACAGACCGCACACAATCTGGGCTCCCACAGAACTATCTCTGCCTGACCGCTTTCTATTTATCCCTTATCAGTGTTTACCAACCGCTAGTTTTCTTTCATTCACACTGTGAGGCAGTTCTCTTACTATCAGTCAACAGCTGACACCGTGGAACAGCCTCAAAGGCAAGAGGAAGGGATCAAAACTAAACCAAAGCTGTTTAAACAATACAACAGAGGAAATAAATTCATAAATCCTAATTCTTCCCAACCCACAAGGGTATAAGCAGATCCTTTATAGTTAGGCCAACAAACAAAACCACAGCCAATGAGGTACATTACAATCAAGGTAAATTCTGAAATATATTTAGAAGGGAAAAAAAAAAAAGGAAAGAAAGGCATTTTTAAAAAATCCCATGTAGTAATAATTGGGAACATTTCATAGTCTTGCCCCTGTCAGGCAAATATATGTATTCACTTAAACCTCCTTTTTTTCTCTTGTCTTTTATTGTCTTTTCAGGAAAATCCCACCTGATTCAACGTTAACGTTTTTAGATCATTTTATTGTATGCTACCAACAAGCTTAAAAACATGTGTGACATTATAAGCAGCTCCAAATATTTTATTAAGATTTGGAATAAATGCCCAGTTACAGTGCTTTTGTTAGAATCTTTCCACTTTTAAAGCACCAATCAGTAAAAATACAGCTCAAACCTGTTTTAATTTATATAACATAAATTGCCTTTATCAGTAATTATGCACAACTCATTAAATATTATAATATTGACTTTATTACTGGCTCAATTTGAATCAATGCAATATCACCTCTTTTAATTTAAGGGACATATTTCCACTGTGACAAACTGTGGCTTTTTACGTTTATAAAAGAGCATATTTAAACAATACTTTCAGACTGCAGGCAAATTATATTCAAATGTTGAGAGAAATAAATAATAATATTGAAAGGTACTGTTAACACTGTTGCTTTACATTTTTCTCCAGCAGGACAAACAAACATCACTGTTTTTTTCTGGAATACTCTTCAAAAGTTAAGTAATTAATTACATTTATCCTTTCACCAGCTGCTCAACAGCAGATGGATCATTTCTGAGACCTTGTTGAATTAAATCCACATAATTCATTTTCCTGGATTAACTAACTGAAAGTTTGAGCAGTGGAAAAACAGGTAACACATTGTGTATTCGTCTGAAATGTATTTTATACTTGACAATGTGAAGACCCGACGGCAATTTGTTTATAATTAAGACAAGCTCTTCGTGTTTTTTTTAAAGGAGGCCAGAAGTTAAATAACATTCATTTAGTTGTGTGCTAAATACATGAAAATAGGTACAAACCAAATTTGCCATCACGGTCATTTAAAGTGTATTTCAGCTATGTGAATGGGTTTGTGAATCCAGTTTTGTTGAGCAGCAGGTACCATGGACAGTTCCTGGAGGCAAACAGAGGTTACGTTAATGTGTTGTGTAGCAACTAACTTCCCTGTGCTTTGAAGAGGAGGGTGTGGAGCAGAGAGGAATAATGCCTCTTACTTATCACTGCTTTAGCACACAGCCCTACCACAGACTCTGCTGCTTTTATAATTAAAACAAAGTGTGGAGGTGCAACTTTGTAACTTCGCTCTCCTCATATGTTTTAATCTCTGTATAACAGGGCAAACTTTTCAAAGGATTACTCAGATGTGTTACACAATACTGTATCATCTGATGTCTTTTTCATGTTTATTAAGAGATGAGTGCTGACTGTCATGAGATGATGACAAAACTTATGATCAAATGGAGACAAACAGGCACAATGACAAGTGACATTTAATATATTTTACCACTGAGTCATATCAGTGGGAATTCTTCTAATGTAACAATGACAGAAAGAATCATTTCCCTCACAAAAATAAAAATCACTGGCAAATATAAGAGATTTAGTTTATATTTATATAAGTTGTATAGAAATACTGAAGTATTTAGCTTATATCATTTAGATTTTTTTTGCTGAAAAAAAGAGAAATAATATTCACGTTTTAATAATTCATACACTAATCTACTCTTGACTCTCATTTAAAAGAAAATGCTCCTTAAATTAAAAAAAAATCAAATAAAATAAAAAAACAGGGATCAGCTTGAAGATGGGTCATACAAGCAGATTCTGAGGCATTAGTGTGCTCCAACTTACTAGTAAATGATGAACTTTTCCAACCAGCATCCATCCTCTTAAATCAATAGTTGCTCTGGAGACTGTTGAGTGCTTTGACCCCTTACAATTTGGTCAAAGCTAAGTCTTGCCCACGTCTACCACAAAAGTTCGCTAGTGGACTGTGTTACTGTCTCACTACATTTGGCATTAGCATATAGTTTTGTAACTTTGCCACAGTTATGATGCAAATGATAACATAAATTCAAAACAGACTGTAGTGCTTCGGCCCTGTGAATTTGTCTAAATCTGAGATTTGTCCTCAGACAATAACACAAAAGCTGATTTGTGGATATTTTTTTTTTTGTCAAACTATGATCACTGTTAACATATCTTTTTCAGACTTGTAATACAAATTACAGAAAGCCAGGACAGGATGCAATAAAATACTTGACTGACTGCTCAAACACGTTATTGGAACACAGAGTCAATGTTTAAGTGCATTAGGCTCAGTGGTCTTGTATGTACAGCTGTCACTGTCAAAGCCACAGGCAACCTGACAATGCTTTGTCTCTACACACAATACGAACATGTGTTATTCCTAAGACAAGCTTATACTCTACACAAATGCTGTGAACTTAATCTAGGTAGACAGTATCTCATGCTATCTGGATGATCAAAAATAGGTCATGCCTCTCAAAAAGCAGTTTGAGCCATTTAATCTCCTCTCAAACTGTCTGAAACCTGGACAGAAGCTGCGCTCGCTTTCCAGCAAAGATTTTAAGAACACTGATTTGTATCAGGAAAGCAGTGTTCATGTTCATCTGTGCAACATTTTCTACAACAAACACTCCCTGACACAGTTAAAAACAACTGCCAGCACAATTCTTTTTCACATAGTCATGCAAAATCTGGACGAGGCGAGTTCCGCAGCAGAGTAAAAAAAATCAAAATTCAAAAATCTAAGTGTAAATCTAAATAAGTTTCTAACACTTGTGCGTTTCAGCTGCTGCTTTGGATCGCACAGGACAGCATCTAACAGCGTGAGCTAAAAGCCTTGTCGTTCACATTTGCGATACAGCATATCACTGATGACAAATGCTGACCAAACTGACAGTATATTAAATAAAAAGAACTTTGACACCAACCTAGTGCTGTGATCCAAAAAGTTTGATTTTCTCCCAGTCTCTTGATAGCTTAGCTGGTGCTGTGGCTTTGAAAGGTAGTCCCCAGGAATATGACATACTGTGCCTTTGACAGCCTCGAGATAAGCACCTGCGTTCGGGTCCCTTTTTACGTCACACCTCCCCATTCACAGCCCTTCAACATGATGCACATTTGCACATCAACAGCCACCAACCCCCCTCCTCGCTCTACTCCCACATCCGCAAAACACACAAACAGGCACACAAGAAGGCAGATGCGCGCACTGGGCTCTACTCATGCGCGCGTACTCTCACACAGACACACACGCAGGCACCACAGATTTGTGTGCGCTTACTGAGGATGCAGCCTACATGCAGGCAAACACACATGTGGACACATATACACTCACGGTGCACTCACAGATGATTTATTCCTTCTTCTTTTTTTTAACTCCTTCATCCAGACTTATTCATATATTGATCCTCGTTTTATGTGTTTAAAAAAAACAAAAAACTTTCCCTTGGTTTGTCATAAGACCAGGGCATATGCCCTCCCAAGCTCCTCATACATCACTCATCATGCAAATGAGAGGGAATGTCACTCCTCAGCAGCAGATGGCCAGGGATGATAACAATGGCTGAACAGACCAGTTTCAATGTCTGCGACTTTATCGCTACGGCAACAACAAAAATAGATGATATGAAATCCTTGTCTGTTAATTTGATTCTCCTCCTTTTTAGTGTTTGTACCTGTCAGCCTGTTTCGTTTCTCTTGGACCATTTCAATGTAAAAGCTTTGTCTGAGGTTTTTCTGTCATCAGAAGTCTGCCTATCACTAAAAGGCACAGACCTGGAAATGATTTTTGGTGACTACGGAAAGCTGCTGCCTAGCAGTTATTCAAGTAATTAGGTGTAATTCCTCCCTGTAGTCCATGTTAGCCTCCTGAGTTAGCTCATGCGTTCGACAGGCCTGGATAGAGACAGGGAAGAATAAAAGAAGAAAGGGGCCCCGAGAAATCACAAATGCAGCTTTTCAAACCACCACCACCACCACCCCCCAGCCAAAGTGATGTCACCCTGCATCCTGCTGACTCCTGTTCATACAAGCCCCCATAGCAGAGAGTAAACAGTGGAAGCGTTTAGCAAACAGGGCCAGATTACAATGACAAAGGCAACCACACTTCTGGGTGGAGCCTGGGGCGAGGGGGGCAAAAGAGGGGGGTGGGTTGGTGAGGCTCAGGATTTAAAATAAGTGATACCCATGAGGGGGCCCCCCCTCAAGATCCAAGCCTAGCCCTTCCCCAGCTGATGGTAGGGGCCACCCAAACACGCTTATCTGACGGTGATGTCCCCTCAGTCCCCGGGGACTGACGTGTGAACACAATATGTAATAATAATGAATTTTCAGTTCTTTTTCCTGTGATTTGTGCATTTGGTTATGCAAGGCTGGGGACTTGAGGATGGAGAATATCATTACTTAAGGTTTGGCAGTTGATCATCACCTTGTTTAATGCCTCATTTGAAAGTCTAATTTCTAACTGTCTTCAAGAGCCAATTCATGGTACACTGTGAAAGAGACATACAAAGAGAGCAGACATGCTCTGTTTTACCCTCTTTTTTCCACAATTTGTACCTGATAATCGTACAAATATATGAAAGTAAAGGATCATCTATGTAAGCATCTTATCACATGGCATGTTCTCTCATTCCTGATGTAGACAATCTCACTGTGAGGCCATGGCAAGCTTGTTCTAAGGGATGATTATTTCATGTCCACGACCAGACATCAGCTTTGTTTGAAGAAAACACAAAAACAATCAACTCGTGTTAAGCAGTCCCGGCAAATTGTGAGAGCATATTGACGACCGCGCAACAACACCATTTACGAAAATGTAACATTTTCTTTTGCCCATAACATCTGTTCGGATCTCGAAAAAGAGAGAACTCATTCAGAGGCAACATGCAACATAAACTAGTGTTTTGTCAAGCTATTTCATCAACTGAAAATGTGGGCATAACTGGAGAGAGCTGATGGAGAAATGAAAGAGGAGTGGGTTGGACAAAATTACATGTCAAACAAGGGTTCACATTTAAAAAGTCCTGCTCATATTTGTAGAAAGTGTTTGATTGCATTTAGAAAGGTATTACAATGGGTCACATCTGTGTCTAAAAGCTTTTTGCATTCTGCTGCAAATTATGTAAGCAAAGTGAAGTGTCACAGCACCCTGTTGTTTTGAGCACTATACCTTCCTCCTGTGAAACCTACACAAATATGTTTAACTGAATTCTTCTAATGTACTGCAGGATCAAAATGTCAGCGGTATAACTTCAACAAACCCCCTCACTCAACACCCCGCCCTGTAATTTCAACAAAGCAACACGACTAATTTTGCGTGGCAGCCCGTACAGCCAAACAACAATGCATATTCACTGTCCCATTGAATGTGATAGACACGTAGAAATCTATATTGAACTGTGGTTAATTTCGGCTGTAATGCTTCAAGCTCGGTCTAAAATGACACAAATGGTATTTCTTGGTGGTACTGAACCCTTATTGTGCAACCACTTGATGCCGCTTGTTCATCGCCACAAAGTCACATAAAAGGACTGAATTAAATTTTAAATAAATTATTTGCATATGCAAATATGGGTAACCAAACATAAGTACATGTTGTTGATATGGCTCCAGGATGTAGAACTATCTTTATGTTAATGTCAACAGACAGGGAATATTCTTTTGAAAATACAGTGCATTTTTCATGGGGATCATTATCTACACTGCATGTCAGTGTGTCTCAGTTAAAGGAAATGATTAGATTACTTCCCAGCAATCCCCTTTTGGGCGATTTATGTGTGACCGTGGGCAACCTTACAATATGTTTATTCAGTGTCCTTTGAAGAGACTTCAATAACATTTGGAATGTTTTGTGAACAAATGTAGGTTGGTTTTATTTATCTCTTCATTGAACCAATGCCTTTGGAGCTACTGTAGGGCCACGGTTATATTTGAGTTTGAAAAAGTTTCTCCAAACTTGATAAATCCTCCTCTAGTAGGGTGTGAAATACTCTTTTTAATGAACTAATACAAATTACTCTGTAGCCAAATTTCTGTTTTTTAAAAAAGAAACAGGTGACCAAACTTTTGAGGTGAAAAAGGTTATAGGTGACCTTGTATGTCACTTGCAAATGTTTACTGAAACTACATAGGAAGAAATGTTGTTTAACATAATTACAGTGGCATTAGCATCCATACATCCAGTACATTCAAAATGAAAAGGAGCTTTCATTATTAGCTTTGCATTTATCTGACTGATGAATTAACCAAAGAGCCAAACTTTAAGGTTTGTATGGCAGAAAAGCTGCACACGGGATCATAAAATCCAGAAACCATGGTGATTATTAAGACTGCATCACAATTCTAATTGATTCCATTTTATTTTATGTTTTATATGGCATAGCTCACAATTTGCTATTTACCAAGACGTTTTACCATTGTAAGCTTGAGCCCAAACAATGTAAAAGTGATAACACAAAGAGTCCACAATTATCTATATAATGTATTTAGCAATTTCAGTGAAAAGCCTCATTAGTCAGCGATTGTTTGTCCTCTTTCTCTTTTTCCCATGTTGATCAGATTTTACAAAACGGGGCAGGTAATCAAGCAAACATTATACTCACATCTATAAAGTGCAGTCATAGAAACAAAATAATAACAAAATAAGAGTTTGGTTTAAATATATTTACATCTATAAGTATCAGTGACAACAATCACAACTGGTTCTTACATTTACCAGCCTAAACTGAGAGCGTCTGATTGGTTACATTTAATAAATCAGCACTTGATTGGTCAGTCGATGTCTTCTTTTTCAAAGGCCTGTAGACTCACTTTGTTGTGTCATTGAGAGGTTAGGTCCAGATATGAGTGCCCATCTTTTTCACTCAGGCAGGCAGACAATGAAGCAGACACGCCTATAAATGGCGAGATAGGAGCTTGGATGTTCAGCCAAAATCGAGCATCTACACAATGGTAACAGGTGTGTATAATGCATGCTTTGATAATGACCTTGGTGGCTGTAATAGTATGTCTAGACACAACTAACAAGAGGCATTTGTGTCTGGTCTCAGAAGTCCTAGAGGTGCTCCGTAGCAAGATCCTAAGGATAAGATATTCATTAGAGATTGTTGGTCATTAAAACTAAAGGAAAAATGTGTCAGATGTATGTAGGCTACTAAAATAAAATATTTTTTTCCATGACACTGGAAAAATTAGGTATCAGAAAAGTTTACTTTATCACTCAACAAAATATTTGCAGGGCTGTTTGCATAATAAGCTAAAATCATCTTGAGTATTCAGAGATATGCACTTGAATAAATAGAAAAAAAAAACTCCATTAATGTGGATGGCTTGCAATTTTTGATTGCGCCAGATACAGGAAGCTTGCTGACATGAACGAAAATGCAAATGCCCTTTGAGCAAAACAAAGAAATTGATTATGAAGTAAGTTTCTACAGCACAAGTAGCTGGCTTTGAGTGATTAATGGGGGTGGGTCATTGATTTCCTTTTGTTTAGATCTTGGTTAACTTTCTGGAGACACAATTATAATTTGTTTCCAAACAATAAATCCAATCTAGCTTGAGCAAATTAAATTTCCCTATGGCCTCTTCTGTGTCATTTTACATCTGAAATGGATTGTTATCAAAAGGCATTGCATGTAAATGTCTGCTGTTTCTGTTTATATTTGTTACATTTTTGATTAGATATTGTTTTTCTCGGTATACTGGAAGGTGAGCACTTCCTAAGATTAGAAAGAGCTGTTTACAGAGATCTGCATGACTTGTCAGCTACAGTGCCAGGGGTTAATCCCCCAGTTCTCTCTTCAGTAGCTGTTTGTAACACATATCAAGATTTCTGATATCAAATCTATCTAAGTTGTAAGAGAAATGTTGTTCATCTGTTGTCTGAAACATGCTAAAACGTTTTGTATTCACTGAATGA